CTGGGGGTGCGCAAGCCCCCACTCAGCCCCAGGCCCTGCCCCCACTCCACCCCTGCCCCCAAGGCCCTTGCTCCACTCCACTTCTCCTCTTCACCTCCCCTGAGCGCACCCCATTCCTGCTCCTCACCCTGCCTTCCAGAGCCTCCTGCACGCTGCTGAGCAGCTGTTCTGCAGGGTACAGGAGGCACTGCAGGGAGGGAGAGGAGTGGATCGGTGGGGCCGGCAGCCCCAGACATGACTTGTGGGCCCCCTGGAGAACCCTCGCTGACCCCAGTTTCAGAACCGCTGCCCTAGAGGGAAGGGGAGCTCAGCCTGCTCCCTGGCCCCTTTATTCCTTGGACCCTACTTGCAATGGGGACGCTGGTCCTGCTCGGGCTGGGCTGAGACCTGGCGCACTTGTGTCCCAGCAGAGCTGGGCTGGGGAGATCAGGCCCAGTACTGGAAGGGGAGCAGGGCCCCCTCCCCACTCCCGCCTCACAGGCAGCTCCTCGACCCCGTTTCCACACGCAGGCCCTGCGGATCATCCTGCACAGCCTGGACCGGCGCGCCAATTGCTACCAGCGCTACATCATGCCACTGCTGTCGGTCAGCGCCGACTTCTACATCCGGGTCTTCGTGCGGGTCTTCACTGGCCAGGCCACCGTGAAAGCCTCTGCCAGGTGAGCATCTCATCCCTGGGGCGCTGGCCAGAAGGGTTAGCCCGCCCTGCTCTCCACAGCGCCCCCTGCTGGAGAGGCCAGGAGTGGAGTAGCCAGGCGCTCACCCCCACCGCCAGCCTTCCTGCCCTGCAGCACCCCTTGCTGGCACCCCCATTGCTTGCTGTGCCCTGTCCCCACTCCCTGTTCCTGGGCCCATTGTTGCTGAATCTCCTCCTGTCTCTGCAGCAAACAGGCCCTGGTGTATAACTGTGTGGGCTGCGGGACGCACCGCTTCCAGAGACTCGGCAAGATGACCAGCCACGGGAGCAAGTAGGGGGCTCTGGGTTCTCCCTCACCCCAGGACAGTGCAGCTGTCCCCACCCACGGGACAGGGGCTGACTCCAATTCCTGGCCCTGGAGAGCAATGGGAAGGGACCTGTCCTCAGAGCTAGTGTCCACTGGATGGGAGAGTCCAGTGCTGGCCTGTCCCTAAGGAGATGCAGAATGGATGCGGGGAGTGGAGAGGGGATGACTGGTCCCTGGAGGTGGGAGCGGGGGGTCCCCAGCTGGAGGTAGGCCTGGCCTGGGAGGTGGAGCTGGACTAGGAGATCTCAGGTTAGGAAAGGGGGCTTGGAGGGGGGCTGGGATGGAGAGGCGGGGCAGGGGTAGGGGCTCTGCTCCATTAGATCTCTAATTACTGTTCTGATTGATTCAGTTTTAAATACTCGGCTGCCTCTGGCCCCCCAGTGGGCCCCTCCTGCGAGCACTGCCACCAGCGGCACCAGGTGAGCCCCCGTCCCCCCCGGTGCACCCCACTCCCCGAGGGCCGGGCACACTGCCCTTACCTGCTCTGTTCTGTTCTCCCAGCTGGGTGGCCCCATGTGGGCGGAGCCCCTCCACGACCTAGCTTTTGTCCAGAGGGTCCTGTCGGCCTTGGGGAGCAACCCGGGACGGTTCGGGACACAGGATCGGATCCAGGGGGTGCTCAGCATGGTGACCGAGGTGAGGGGCCAATTGGGAAGCACCCCCGGGGGAACAAGCGGCATGGGGCCCTGCTGGGGAATCGGGTGGTCTCTTTTGGGTCTGAGTTGGGGAGCAGCTGGGAGGGTGGGACCCCTGGAGCTGGGGGCGTGGCCAGTTGGGTTTCTGAGGGTGGGGCCTGTGCTGAGCCACTGTGTTCCCCTCTGGCCAGGAGCTGAGCGACGTCCCGTTGTACTACACCCTCGACTGCCTGAGTAGCACCATCCACTGCAACACGCCCTCCCTGCTGCAGTTCAGGTACTCGGGGCCTTACGGGACCAGCCAGTGGGCGCCGGGCAGAGCCAGGGGCAGCCCCTGCCCCAAAGAGCTTCTGCTCTAAACACCCCTGGAGTGGGCGGGGAAATAGGGCACAGAGCGGGGGCAGAGCTGGGATTGAGACCCAGACCAGGGGCCCCCCCGCTCCACCGGGACATGCTGCCTCTAAGGCAGGGAGTGAGGCTGGGGTTGGACGCATCACATAATTCCCTTGGGGGAAAGCACCTCCCCTACCCACTCACCACTAGGGGGTGCTAGGCAGGGCCCAGAGGGGGAGGGCGCCCCCTCCTGAGCTGCCACCACCTCGGAGAGCCCAGGGGCCCGCAGGCAGCAGAGGGCTCCCCCCGCAGCATGGCCTGAGGGCTCCCCTCCGGTTCCAGATCCGCCCTCCTCCATGCCGGCTACCGTGTGTCGCTCTCCCACGCCTGCAAGAACGCCATCAAGACGGATGCCCCGCCCTCCGTCCTCTGGGACATCATGAGATGCTGGGTGAGTGGGGGGGGGGGTGGACTTAGCGTTTCTTGTCTGCCCCCACCCCATCAGGTCACCGCTGATGGGGATGCCTGAAGCCAGTGAGCTCCCTCCATGCGAGCCCTGGCTGGCTGTGAAGCTGGTGAAGGTAGCAGGGGGAGGCAGGGTTTGGGGAGGAGCGGGGGGGTCCTGTCTGTTGCGGCTCAGGGTTGAGGGGCACCGGCTGAGCTGCGTGTGAAGGGAATCCAGGGCTGGGGGGAGGGGAACTCAAGGGAAAAATGACCTGATCTCTCTCCCCAGGAGAGAATCCATCCAGTGAAGAGAGAGCGACTCTCGGACACCAGCCCAGCCTTCCACATCCTCTCTGTGGAGCCCACGTACGGCCTGGGGGTTCGAAGGGAATCAGGCCGGTGCCTGGCACGCTGCCTTCTTTGCTGCTGGGGGCAGGGGCTGGTGGGATGCAGAGGGGAGGCAGCGTGGCCTAGGGGGGAGAACAGTGGACTAGCACTTGAGACACCTGGGTTCTAGGCCTGGCTCTGCCACTGGCCTTCAGTGTGGGTGGGTCATGTGCCTCTGTTTCCCCATTTGTAAAATAGTGATCCTGATACTGTGACCTCCTTTGGCGATTGCTGGGTAAGACGCAGGGATGGGGGTGGTACAACATCGCCAGGGCCTGCCCCTGCAGTGCAGAGGGTCTGGGGGATGGCCAAGCCCTGCTGCTTCAGGGCAACGCAGCCGTCTAAGGCGGATTAAGGAGGAACTTTCCCCAGGACAGGTTATTCCACCAGGTGTGTTGCACAGCTGGGAGACATGGACCTAAAGTGCCCCCGCCAGCCCACTGGTCTGAGCCAGGGCAGCAGGGGATGGTGGGTGAGGAATACCAGGCTGGATGGGCCCATGGGGCTGATCCACTCTCCCCGTGCCTAGTTCTTCAGGATTCCCCACTCCAGGCTGCTCAGGAAGCCCCCCCTGCAAAGCACTGAGCCGTCTGTCTCCCTCTCCTCCATGCCCTAGGCTGCAGGCATCCTTCACCATCCGCGAGGACGCCAACCCCAAATCCAGGAAGCAGGGTCTGAAACGGTTCCAGGAGAATCCCGAAGCGTACTGGGGCCCTAAAGCCAGAGCTAAAGCAGGGTAAGGGAAGCCGATGGACTGGGCCAAGATTGAACAGCTGGGGGAGGGTGCTCAGATGCAGGACTCCGCGGTTCTATTCCTGGCTTTGTGGGCCAGTTACTTCCTTTCTCTCTCTGCCTCAGTTTCCCCAGCTGTAAAGTGGAGCTAGGACTGACCCTATCTACCTCCCTGGGGCTGGTTGCAAAGTGCATCTTTGACGGGAAGGCACCAACTGGGACAGCTGAAGAGGACACCTGGGGCCCATGGGGAGGAGTTAAGGCTAGGGGGCTGCTGTTCTACCCTGAATCCAGCTCCGGGCCAGGATGACTCTGGATCCGGATCAGAGCAAGGTCCCACCCCTGTGTGGCTACTACTCAGCCAGGCTGGTAGCCTTATCCTGCTTCCATTGGGTCTCTTTAAAGCCTCCAGCCCCAGTGGATATGTGAACGCTCCTCAGGGCCTGCGGCTTTATGCTGTTATACAGCTGGCGTGCTCCACCCCAGAGCCAGCTGCTGTCACTCCTGCCCGTAGCTGAGCAAACTCCACTGCGGGGCTGGAGCTAACCCTGGGGGTTAAAATAGCACTTCGACCCCAGCAGCCCTCCTCACGCAGCCCCCTCCTGCCTTTCCAGGGGTGGCATTTCCACCTCCCTGCAGGACAAGAGGAAACTGCATCAGAACAAGCGGAAGGAGAGAGCGGAGGACGGGGGCCGCTTGAAAAACACCCCCTACAAGAGGCTCAAGGAGGTGAGGACTGGCCGGGGGGGGAGGGGGAGCTAGAGCTGGGATGAAAGGGGCTCGGGGGGGTGGGGGGGGAAGCATGGCAGCTCCTGGCCATGGTGCTGCTGTAATAACCCATAACCCTGACTATAGCTTCTCTCCCTCTGCTAGGGGAGCTGCGCGGGGGCTGAGAAGTGCTGCCCCTCCCCTGAACCGGCCCCCCAGGCTGTGAAGACCGACAGCCCCCCCCCGTAACCCGGCCCTGAGCAGGAATGGAGGCTACGGGGCTTTATTTTTTTAGTTCGATGAGGGTGCAAGCTTTTCGTTTTAAGACTGACTGTCTCCCCCACCCTGAGCCTCTGTGCGGTCGGCCATTAAAACAAGGGTCTCTCCTTTTTAGGGACAAGCCCAGACTCACGTGTGATGCTTCTGTGTGGGGCACACGGGGGGGAGCTCAGCTCCCCCCCCCCCCGATATACACACTTCCCAAAGCAGGCACCAAGGGGAAGGCAGGGCTATGCCATGATCCCCCCAGCCTGGCAACTCTTCTTCCCACCTGGGCTGAGGAAGGGCTCCGCAGCCACAGCCTGGCTGGCTGGACTCCAGGCAGGATGGTGGAGCTACTCTGCCTCAGTTTCCCCACAGGCAATCGATCAGGCATGTGGGGGGGGACAGGACTCCTGGGTTCTATTCACAGCTCTGCCCCTGCCCTGGTGTGTTCATTCTGCCTGCATCCCCCGAGCAGGACTCAGCCACAAGCACCTAGACCTGAGGTCCTTGTTTATTAACAATGGCACTTAGACCCACACAACCCAGGCTGAAGGGGCAGGTGGGTAGAAATCAGAGGCTGTGCTGAGGAGGAGGAGTTTTTTTTTTTTTGGGGGGGGGGGGGGGGGGAGGGCAGCACTGGACTCTGCCCCTCCCTTCTCCCCCAGAGCTGGCACTGCCTTAAAGCAGGGCCTGACAGGTGCAAGTTTAGCTCTTGCAGCAGCCAGGATGTGCCCCCCTCATTCCCACCAGTCAAGTTCTCAGGTGGGCAGGGCCCCACCTGGCTGAGTAGGGGGGCAGTAGTTCAGGACTCCACCTGGATGGCTTGATCCTGGGACGGAGGTGGGGGGCTGTCTTCCCCCTACAGCTCAGCCTGGCCCCCACTGGGGCCCGTGTACTGGATGGTGGCCAGGAAGGTGCGAATCTCCATGGGCTGCAGTGTGACTCCCAGCGGGTTAAGCGGAGGGTAGGCCTGGCGCCTGGCTGCACCTGGGAGAGGAAGCCAGGGGTTAACTGCCCAGGGGCAGCAGCTGGGGTGCCCTGGGCCTAGATGCTGCCAGCTTCTCCACCGGAGGGTGGACATAACCCTCCCATGTGTCTGTGAGCTCCCCACGCCATGAGTACAGCTGAGGGGCTCTGGCCACATGCAAGACAGGGCCTCCCCCAAGGGCCCAATGTGCCAGCTGCCCACCATCCCCTAGGTAAGGAGGCAGGCACTGGCTGTGCTGGGCAGAACGGGGGGCACAGCATCAGGGCTGCTGGCCTCTGATCCGTGCTTTAGTGCGGGGGTGGTGACCTACCTGTGGCTGGCCTCCAGCTGAGCCGGTTCATGGCATCTCGCTTCTGGTTGGCCACCAGATTCATCTCCTGCAGGGAGGTGATGGTGAAGGAGGAGAACAGGTGCTGGGTGGGGAGAGACATGGTCAGCAACTTCCTCAGGTGAACCCCGCCTCCTTCTGGCCACCCCCAGACCTGCAGGTGAGTAGACAGCAGCAGCAGCTCCACACCCCACCCACCCCAACAAAGGGGACTCCTGCAGGCTGGTGTGAAAACCGGATTCTGTGCTGCCTGTCCTCAGCCTCTGGGTGGGGCTGCTCATTCACGCTCCACCCCAGAGCTGGCTGCATTTCAGTGCCAGGAATGGGAGCCCTGAGGAGTCAAAAGCACCCACCTCTAGGGGCCAGGGGTTAGCATCAAGTGGGTGAGACCCCCCTCCATAAAACAGCTGTCATGCCCTATGCCCGCTGCACCTTGTGTCTAAGGATCCCTCTCCCCATGTGGATGTGCAGCCATCTCTGGTGTGGGACTTGGCAGCTGTTTTATACAAGGATCCTTTGTGTGATGCTAAGATCCACCCCAGAGGTGGCTGCATCTCAGCCCTAGGCAAGGGAGCCTGAGACTGTCAAATGCTTTAGATGAAAAAGCCTCTAGGCCAGCAGCTCAGCAAGTCCCAGGTACCTACCAGCAGGTCAACAGTGACGGGCTGGGAGCAGTTTGCACTCTCCCCTCTCTCGAACTGGTGCTCCAGGCGGATGAGGACGGAGCTGGGGTCCCACTGGGCCAGTGTCAGGAGATGGACGGAGGGGGGAAGCTCTTGCTTCAGAGCAGAGAACTGGGGAGGAAGGGGAGACAGGGTGTCAGGCTGCCAGAACAGCACCCCTAAAGGGACAGTTTCAGCAAACTTAAAAAAAAGTCATCACCTGCCCTTGAACTATTTCAGTTCCCCAGGCTCCGTCCGTGGCTGCAGGGCAGCGCAGTGTGGATACAATGCACTCCCCTTCTCCTCGAGGGGCTGGCCTGCAGCTCCCAGCGTACAGCAGCGTCCCCCTACTTATGATGGGTTAGGGGGACAGGCGGAGCCCTGCTTCCAGCAGAGAGCGGCTGGCTTGTCACAACCCTTCAGTTTACTTGATCCCTCAATTTTCTGTGGAAGATCAGCTTCGACAGAACAGGTGGTGATGATCCCAGCTGCCCTCACAAGTGAGTCACCCCAGCGTAGGTTTCACAGGGGGCATGTGTGGTGTGTGTAACCCCATTCTTGGGAGGAGTCGTCCCCCACAAGCAGGGACCACAGGGCCATCAGCTCCAGCCCTTTTTGTCAGCAGATCTCAAAGCACTTTATGCAGGTCAGGCTTATTAGCCCCATTTTACAGATAGGGAAAGTGAGACACAGGGGGGGAAGGGACTTGCCCCCGGCCACTGTGTGCTACCCACTAGACAACACTGCACAGTCCCTTCCAGGCAGCACAGATTGAAAACAGGTCCCTGGTGTACAGCTGGCAGGGGGGGAGATTGACAAGATTTGTTTTCACCCAGCAAGTTGTTTAGCTGGGGATGGCTATTGCCAACTTAGCAAAGGGAGGAGATGGGAAGAGAGGAGTTTAAAATCCAGTTATATTTAAACAACGCTGACTTAACCCTAAGTCCTGGCCAGGAAGAGGGCAAATACCTCTCCCCCCCTCTGAAATTTTCCCAGGGGAAAAACTGGAGTCGTCCCGCCCCCCCCACCCCCCATCTTGCCCCACAGCAAAGCTTCCCACAAAGGGATTTTGGCCCTAGCAATTTTCCTGCCTGAATTTAACCTAATGAGCAGAAAGGAGGCACCTGCTCCATGGGAGGCGGGGTGTGCTTGGCCATGATGGGGTTAACCTATAGTTCACCATAGCCCTCCTGGTCAGCTGGCCCTGGGCTGTGTTGGGGTGGGGGCAGGAGCTGTAGGACTGGGAGAAAGGGGAGAGGCATAGCGATCAGAAAGACAAGGATTTCCCTCCTTGTCCAGCTCAAAGAGCCCTGCTCTGGCTGGAGGTGAGTTGGGAGCTGAGGCTGTGTCCATGGAGAGCGGGGCTGAGACCCCCCCACAACTCATTTCACAAGTGGGTGAAGCAGTTGGGAACAAGCAGCCCCTGGCAGGATTCAAACCAGCAACCCAGCAGCTCACAGTTCCCCTCCCTAAAGCACAGAGCCCTGCCCAGGCACCTGCTTGAGGCTGCGCTGCCCCCGGTGGAAGGAAGGGCCCCCTCCAGGTGCCAGGACCAGCTGGGGGGCCATGAACTCCTGCTGGGCCTGCAGCCGGTGCCGATCGGCCGAAGACTCCACTGTGTCCAGGAAGACGAGGTGCCGGCCCCGCACCACCAGGCCGTCATGGTAGACCCCAGGCTCCAGCAGGGGCTCCCCCACCCCGCGGTTGTCGTCATAGAGCAGCCGTCGGTGCACCTAGCCGCAGGGAGGGAATGTCAGAGCCGGGCGCCCTCGCTGTTCTGCTGCGGGGGGCGGGGGCTGGGAGCGCCACCTGCTGGCCAGCCCTGGGCGCTGCACAGGTGCAAGTCTAGGGCACATGGGATTGTAGCGCTAAGGGCGCCACCTGCTGGCACAGCTCTGCTTCTGCAGGAAGGGGGCGATACACACAGGCTCAGAATGGGGGGCGGGGGTGTTGTGGGGGGAGTGGAGTCCACCCTTTCTCTTCCACCCTTTCTCCTCCCCATCCACCTCTGCGGGGAGGGGGGGGAAAGAGGGGCAAGATACTTCTCTCCCCCTTGCCCAGTCTCTCACCATGAGCTCCACGGAGCCATCGGCCACACTGCTGCCCCCCTGCGAGCGATCCGTCAGCACCGTCAGCTGGAACTTCTTGTTCTAGAGAGAAGAGCGAGCCCAGAGCTAACAGGGGTGGGGGGGTGTGACGCCCTGCCAGGGAGGGTCACTCCCCAGCATCCTGTGCTCCCTCCAGCAGGTAGCAATGGGAGCATTCCCCCCTGCCCCCCCAGCAGCTCTGGTGCTCTTCCATCCTCTTGTGTCTGCCTGCGGCTTCCTGACCCCTTCCTGCGCTGCATTACCCATCCCCGTGGCTGTAGGGGGGCACTTGGCGGGGGGGGGGGGCGGGGGCTGCATTTCTTCCTTCTGGAACGGCCTCCCTCCTGTGTCTCTGCAGTGATACCTCCTCCTCTTGTGACACTGCACTCCATATTCCTCATAGTGATACTTCAATACATGGTTATGGCATAATTATGATGCATTTTGCACAAGATGGGTCATGGGAGGTGTCAGTGGAAAAGGGATGATTTGCTGAATGATTATCCTATTTGTATGCATGGATCATTTTTGTATCTGAAGTTATAAATCTTGGCTGGGTGTATTTCAGATGTTTCATTTGAGGCTACGTCTACACTAAGCACCTTTGAGCGACCCAGCTATGCTGCTAAAAGGCGCACGGTGGCAATGCTGTTTGGTGGCAGGAGAGAGCTCTCTTGCCGACAAAAATCTTCCACTCCCAACAAAAAAAAAACAAAAACAAGCAGCGGTAGCTTTGTGGGCAGGAGAGCGCTCCTGCTGACAAAGCTGTTCATGCTGGTGCTTTTCCTCGGCAAAACTTCTGGTGTTCAGGGGTGGGGTTCACACCCCTGAACGACAAAAGTTTTGCAGACAGAAGTCCAGAGTAGACAAAACCAGAGTAACACCCACAACCAGCCTTTCAGGTACAACAGGGAAGAGCTAGACAGGGCTGCTGGACTATGAAAAGGCTTAGCCTTCTTGTAAATGTTTCAACTGGCCTGTAAGTAACGGCTGCTATGACCCAGCAAGGGCATGAGACCAGATCACAGGATACTGGACTCCATGTTGGGTACCTGTATTTTTCCACAAACTGGGTGGGAACTGTTGTTGGAACAAAGGGTTCCTACCATATGTTTAAGCTATATAAGGTGGGGTGTGACAGCATCTAGGGGCCTCACTCCCCACCTAAGAGAACTCCTGGAAACACATGAGGACCAAAGATTGAACTGGGGGAAGTGCTGGGCCCAGGCTAAAGGGATTTCTAGCCTGCGAATGGAAACGCGGTGTACTGCTTGGATCAACAGCCACGCTGAGAGATTGTTAATTCATATCCAATCTGTCATTTTAGGCTTCGTTTGCGGTTTTGTTTATTTACTAGGCGATACATTAAGTGATAGCAAAAAGATCTTGTCGTCAATAAACTTGTTTTTTGCTTTATCTAACCCAGTGTGCCTTTGAGTGAAATGTCCTGCACCACCCTGATGAGCCAACTGCCCCCGGCTCCCCGCCCCACTGAAACTCACTCCCCCAGCATCTGGATCCCACCACTGAGACCCTCACACCCAGACCCCCTGCCAAGCTCTATCCCCCTGACACCTCCCAAGCCCCAACCACTTTCACCTGGACCTCCCAGCAGATTCTCACTACTGTTGCACCCAGAACCCCCCCTCCCAACAAGCCCCTGTGCATCCAGATTGCCCCACACCTGGATCCTTCCACACTTGGATCCTGCCTTCCTGCCCACACCTGGCATGGAGGGGCAGGGCCCTGGGGTGTTTCTGGGGCAGGCTGGGTCCTTGCACTGTGTCAGGGTTGGGTGCAGCCTTATTGCTGAGTGTGTCCCAGGGGGAGCTGCACAGTGATCTCCCACCTCTGTACAGCCAGGGGCCTGTGCGCACCAGTGCCAGGCTGGAGCCTCCACATTTATTTGACAAATAAAATTTGCAGAATTTTAAAATATTGTGCGCAGAATTGTTAATTTTTTGGCACAGAATGCCCTCAGGAGTATCAGGTAGCTCAGTTTGGGTGTGTGGCACCTCCTGCTGTCAAGTTGGGTGATAACAGGGCCTGGTGAGGCTGGCTGCATCTCCAGCACAGCAGTGTGGGCAGGGCCAACCCAGCTGTGTGTCCTACAGGGGAACAGCGATTCCCAAACTGCACCTCAGGGATGGCAACCTGTCACACCCTTTGCTCTGCCTTTGCTCTGCCTTTGCTCGAGCCACTGCATGGGCCAGAGCAGATCTGGGGGCATGGGAACGAGTGACCAGCAGCACCACCTGCTGGCCAGCACTGGTGTCTGCAACGCTTCCCCCCCAAGATCTTTACCATATCTGGCACCCACCACTGTAGGAATCAAGCCCTCGCCATCTTTAGGGCATTTACTCCCTCACCCCGTCCCTGTGCAGACAGGACAGTTGTTTATTGATGGGGAAACTGAGGTACGGGGACACGATGTCACAAGCTCCCACAGCAGAGCCAGCAGCAGAGCCAAGAACTGAAGGCCCAGGCCAGTATCGCTACCCCCTGGACCATCCCTGTATCTCCAAGGAGAGGAATCCCCCCCCCACACACACACACTCTACCGTGATGGGGAGGGGACCCAGCAAATGCCAACAGGGGCCCCCAGTGGACCTGGTACCTTGATATAGATGCGACTGTTGACGGGATAGTAGTTCCCAGCCACCGCCTCCGTCTGGCTCAGGTTCCACGTGGCCCGATAATCCCGCCTGCCATGAGCACCAGAGCCCCATTAAGCCCCGTGTCGGCCATCTCCCCCACTGCCCCTAATCCGGGGGGGGGGGGGGGGGGTGTAGGGCCAGTTTGGGCTGTGCAGTCCGGGGCTCTGGGCAGATCCCAAGCAACAAGGCTCCCAGCCTGGCCCTGGCTGGGGAATGGACTGTTCCATAGCGGCAGAGGGAAGCTCCCCTTATACCTAGCCCTGGGGTACCCCACATGCTGCCACAGTCCACAGCTGACACCCCCCAGGGGAGGCTGCTGGCTAACCATGGGGGGGTGTTGGCCAGGGCTCATTGGAGTAGCTCATGCAGGGCCCTCCATTCAGGAACCTCAAACAATAATTAAGGCCTGGACGTTCATTAAGACACAGCCCCTTTTTACTAAGGGGAGAAGGGACTCGATAATTCAATGGAAGACACGAGAATGGAACCCAGGACTCCTGACTCCCAGCCCTGCCCCCCCCGCTCCCCTCCCAGAGCTGCAGGGAGAACCCAGGAGTCCTGACTCCACCCTGGAATCATCCCCTCCCCTGCCGAGGAAGGATCACCCCACTCCCAATGTCTCCCTGCCCCCCTTTACCTCCGCTCCAGAATCTCCCGCCCGTTGGAGTCTGTGTAGAAGCGTCCGTCCGTCTGCAGGGATGTCTCAAAACGGCTGATGATCTCCTTGCCCAGCCCGTCGCTGCGGCAGAGGGGGCAGCAGGGTCAGACGTGGGGTCTGGCAGCACACGGATTCCCCCCACCCCCGACACTTTCTGGGGCTGTTCCGACATTTTCCATCTCAGCTGTGTCAATGGCCGGGGTGCTCCCCATGAAAAGCATCATGGGGATGGACAAATTGATGTGCCGTCAAAACTCCCAAATACTTGCATTTGGCAGCACTGCTGCAGTGCCTCCCACTTTATAAACCTGGCTCCCTGGTCAGACTACACCTCCCATGCGGCGCCAGGGACTCCCATAATGCACCACCTCCTGCCCCCAAGAGGGGAGGCTGTGATGCATCATAGGAAATGTAGTCCAACCAGGGACCCCAAACCAGAGGGAATGGAAACATGAGGCATTTGAACTACAACTCCCATGGCGCATTGCACCAGCCCCCGCCCCAAGAGGAGAGACTGTGGTGCACCATGGGAGATGTAGTCCACCCAGGGAGCCCAGCCCAGAGAGGAAGATGGGAGCATGAGGTACCAAAACCACAACTTCCATGGAGCACGGCAGCAGGCCTCCAAGTTGAAATTACTTTGGTTTTCAGGCAGTTTCCTGTAGCAAAACCCTTCCATTTCCCACCCAGCTCTCACACTCACTCTACAGGGATGGGCCCCACCGTCCACTCCAGCTCCACATAGGCCTGCCCGGCATAGAGCCGCACCACCTGCGAGCACCACGAAGAGAAGTTCTGGTAAACCTCCTGTACCAGCTTGTTCTGGACCAGAGAGAGAGAGAGAGACACACACACGTGTGTGTGGGATCCCCGCACCCAGCACTGCCTAACTTCTGGGTTAGGGCATGGGGGGTGGGCACAGTTTAGAGCAGGATCCCTCATCAGATGCGGAAATGCAGCTCCTTCTGGGGCAGGCTGTTAGCAGCCCACGGAAACTCAGCACAGCGTTGGAGGAGAGTAAGGAAAGGATCCTGTATTCAGCTGGAAGTGCAATGAGGTGTGATTGCAGGATCCTGAAGGGGGTTAGCTTTGATTGAGACATCGCGGTAAGGTTAAGGAACATGCAAGGGGATCTTCAATGGTCGTTAGGAGGTGGGAACTTAATTTTAAGTCTTACCCAAGAGCTAGCAACTCTGCTCTAACCCAGTGGACTCCAGTCCCCCAGCCAGACTTGGGAATAGAACCCAGGCATCCTGGCTCCCAGCCGCCCCCCCTGCTCTAACCGCTAGATCCCACTCCCCTCCCAGCTAGCTTAGGGCTAGCGGCATAAGGGAATCAGAGACAAGAGAGTTCGGCTCCCACGCCCAGCCCCCTGGAGGTTCCCACACCGGGGATGCCCCCACCACCTACCTTCACCAGGTACGTGCGGGCTCGCCTAGCCACAGGGAGGGGCTCGGAGTGGTTCGGCCGGAAGATATATGCCCCGGAGGCCTGGGCGCTGTCGTCATCACCAATGCTGGCGTTGTACCTTGGCCAGGGGCAAGAGGGGGGAGGGTGGTGAGACAGCAGCCCCGAGGAAGGTCCAATCAGCTGCCCAGAGCATCATGAGCCCCAATGCCAGGGAGAGACACCCCGCCCTACCCACCCACACACAGCTCCAGCACTGGCCAAGAGATCAAACTCTCTCTCCTGGCTATTACCCTGGTTTACAGCTGGGGAAACTGAGGCACAGAGGGATGGGGAGAAAGGTATTCACTCGTGCTCAAATGTGAGTCAATGACAGAGCTGGGAATAGAACCCAGGAGTCCTGATCCCCAGCTCCCACTGCTCTACCCACTAGAGACCACTCCCCCCCAGAGGTGGGGATAGAACCCAGGCGTCCCGACTCCCCCCCAGCTCACTGACCAGAAAAAGCTCTGAGACACAGGCAGCGAGATGCTTTTGTCCAGGTTCTGAATCTCCATCAGGAGCCCAGTGACCGGGTCGAACAGAACCCGGAGGTGCTGTGGGGAAGAAAGCAAGATCATCAATAGACCATGACCCGGGGGACAACCCACTGCAGGGCCCTCATTCCTCCACCTCCGATTACCCTCCCCTCCACCTGGGGGTCGCCCGGAAGGGACGCCCTGGGTCACACAGTCCAGTCCCCACCCGGTCAGATACTAATCTAGTGCCATCTTAAAGCTCGTTAGGTTGTTTACCTCCCACTGCTCCCATTGGAGGCCATTCCAGACATGGCTGCCTAGAAACCCGCTTCTCATTGCCAGCCTACACTATTTCCTGGACCGTTTATCTCTCTTTGTTCGTGTGCCAACATTATCGTTTAGCTTCAACAGTTCTTCCCCCTCCCGAGAAGCCTATTGCACAATATTTATTAGGCATATTACGGTAGCGCCTCCGAGCCCCAGTCACGGGCCTGGGCCGTATTGTGCTAGGCGCTGTACGTTATTTATTAGGTGTATTACGGTAGCGCCTCGGAGCCCCAGTCATGGAGCAGCTGGAGGTGGACAGACAAGAACAGAGATAGTCCCTGCCCCAAAAGAGCTGGCCCTTCCCTTGCCTTAGAAACGGAAACTGACCCGACAAACAAAGTGAAACTGACCGGGCTGCACCCTTGCTCAGGACAGTACCTCATTCTGGAACTCCCTGGGGGACCAGGTGTCCACCCAGGGTTGGGCCTGCTCCCGGATCCGCTTGGCTAGCCTGGAGCGCAGGTCCCTGTTGGCCGTTTTCGAGATGGTGTAGGTGCTGTAGCCCAGGGGAGGGGCCAAGGCTGGGAAGATCAACTCGTGGGTGGCATCTCCCCGGCCTCGCCTCACTGCCCGGGTGAAGTTTGAGACGGGGACAACCTGGAAACAGAGAGAAAAACCATCTGAGGCCCCATCGGGAGGGTCCGAACAGAGATTGTGCCACATGGGGACACCATGGGGCTGATGCAGGGAGCTCTCAGGTTAAGCAGAGTCAGGCTTGGTTAGAACCTGGATGGGAGACCAAGGAAAATCCAGGGAGGGGGCTGTCTGTCACCTCTTCAGCACTCCCCCCTCACAGTCAGTGCAGGCCCCAATGCCACAGAGCGATGCTAGGGGGCGCTGTGCTGCAGGGAGAGGGGTGGGAGCTCAGGAGGGGCCACTCCCCCCTTGGGGTCAGCGCTGGCCCCAGTGTGGCACTAAGGGGCGCTGTGCAGCAAGGACCGGGAGCTCGGTGGGGGGCACTGACCCCAATGCCACAAGTATCTGTGGACATCATCGCCCCCTAGAGGATGCAATCAGACCTGCTCGAGTGCATGCAATCATACCGCCCTCTAGTGGTGGCAGCAGGCAGAGCCTACACGAGCAGCATTGCAGCTCCCCGCTAAGAGGGGGGGGAGGGATAGTTCAGTGGTTTGAGCACTGGCCTGCTAAACCCAGGGTTGTGAGTTCAATCCTTGAGGGGGCCATTTAGGGATCGGGGCAAAAATTGGGGATTGGTCCTGCTTTGAGCGGGGGGTTGGACTAGATGACCTCCTGAGGTCCCTTCCAACCCTGATATTCTATGATTCTAAGAGACCCTTCCTTTTGCTAGAAGATGCCCGAGCCCAACCCCAGCTAACAACTGAATCCCCTACAGGCCCACGACACGGGAAACAGGTCAAGCAGGCAGCCGCAGGGAGGAGAGAAAAAGCCAAGAAGGAAGACGCTCTGGCCCTACCTCATTCGGCACCATCTGGCCGTTGGGATCGGTCACCGAATACGAGGCTCCTTTCACGGGCAGCCGGACGTTCCAGCTCACACGCCGTCCCAGCGGGTTGTAGAGGATCACCATGAACTGGACAGACAGACCCAGGTTAGCAAGACGCTCACCCCATCCTCCCACCGCCAGCCAGAGGGCGCGGGTGCTATTCACTGGCTGAGCCCGGAGAGGATAAAAGCCATCCTACAATCGACACGGTAAGGGCGAGTGTCCTCCAGCTCAAGCAGCGACCTGCCGTCTCGGGGCTGGTGGAGCTGGGTTCTAGGCCGGGCTCCCCTCCCGCGGTCTAAACAACAACAAGGTCCTTACGGTGCCGGCGGATTCAGTCAGCGGGCACACGCTGATATTGAGGTAGTTGCAATAGATGAAGTTCTCCTTGTTGCCGCTGATGCTGGCCAGAGCATTACTGACCAGGACCTGCAAGAGGAGAGATGCCTCCCATCAGGTGAGAGACGAGAGATCCACCTCCCCACACACACCCACACACTCCAGCTGTGAGTCTGACTCTAAGGGGGGCGCTGTGCTGCAGGGAGTAGGAAGGGAGCGCTCTCCCCTCACTGTCAGTGCTGACCCCAGCAGCTTCCTGGGCAGCGATGTGTGTGTGTGTGGGGAAACGGACCATCAGCCCCTCCCTTCCTCCCTGTGCCCTGCACCACCGCTCTGGAGACGCAGGGGAGGGACACGTTGCTGAAGGAGCGAGGCGAGCAGGCGGAGGGGGGAGGCGAGCGGTGAGCCAGCAGCGAGTGGGGGTTCTCGCGGCAGACAGGGGGGTGTCTGGCAGGGGAGTGAGGAGGCAAGCGGCGGGTAGGGGACTGAGGAGGGATGCAACAAGCCAGCGTTGGCCGGGGGTGGAGGGGTGAAGAGGGATGCGGTGCAGGGGGGGGCACCAACCCCCCCAAAAAACCTTACCTAAACAAATGACAATGATTGGGATGTCTACATGCGCGTGTTACTTTATTAACTTGAGGAAAAAATAAATAATTTTAGGGAAAAGCAAGAGTTGGTGGCCACACTCTGAGGCCACCCAAAAATTTGTTCCGAGAACCCCTGCACTAGGGGACGCTGCAGGAAACTGGGTGGGGACTGCTCCTCTCAGTCAGTGCTGGCCCCCCGATTCCCTGTGGGGGCGGAGGGGGCGCTGTGCTGCATGGAGTGGGAGGCCCCACTGCCAGTATGGACCCCAATGCCAGAGGGTGGCACTAGGGGGCGCTGTGCTGCAGGGAACAGGTCAGTGGTGGCCCCAATTCCCCAGCATACAAGTAGGGGGCGCTGTGCTGCGAGGGGCTTGATAGAGGGGGACGCTCTCCCCTTGGGCCCAGCATGGACCCCAGTGCCCGAGGGCAGTGCTAGGGCCCCGCTGGGGACTAGAGAGGTTAGCAGAGGATGCACTAAAGAGCATGTTTAGGCCACGAGACAGATATTGCCAGGTCTCCACAGCAAGGCATCACCAGGGCCACCCTTTGCTGAGGAGAGGAGTAGGGAGTTATTAGGGGGGTCCCCTTTAGCTGAAGAAATCCCCTTGCCCAGCGTTGAGATGCGGCCACCTCTGGGGTAGGGCCATAGCAGGTCCTTGGCTACACCGACACCCCCCTAGGCTGCCTTTTCCTTGGGCCACCCTGCCTCGGATGCTCGATGCAGGGCGACTAGAGGAGGCAGAGTCAGGTTCCGGGATCTCTGGAGGGGAACAGGGTGCCAAGGAGCCAGGGCACGTACCTGGCAAGCATCCCAGCCGGCAGCCAGGCGCTTGGCGTAGTCATTAGCCACGTGCTGCTTCTCCGTCCCGCTGACGGCGTCGTGATGCTGGGCCACCGCCATGGCCCGGCCTGTGGAGGAGCCAGGGCATCAGGGGCAGAACAAGGAGCTGCACCAAACCCACGGGATGGGACGATGCAGGACGCAGGGAAAGGGGGATTGTGGGGCCAGACAGCCCCCAAATCCAACCTCTCCAATAGAGGGCTGGGCCTGCACTTTTCCTGCCTGGCCTGAAGACTCCCCATCGGCCCCCAAGCTCCAGCATCAACTTGGCAACTTGCCCAAGGCCACACACACAGGAGCGGAACCCAGGAGTCCTGATGCTGTCCCCTGCTCTAACCACTAGACCCCACTCCCCTGCCAGAGCCCAGGAGTCCCCACTCCCATCCCTGCAGCACTGGTTCACGTTGCTGGACGTGTGTATGGAGGAGGCAGCACTGCCCTCTGCTGGCTGCAACAGGAGCTCTTCCTTTGTTCCGTCTCCCCCTAGTGGCTGCAGGGGGCAGGATAAGTTTGGGGGGAATTGCAATAACGGGGTGATTCACGGCGCAGCAGCTCACGTACGGAGCACGGCACTGTCTCCTTCCCCGTAGGGGCCTGTCCTCGCCACCGGACCGGCCAAGGCTTCCAGCTGGTTGCAAACCTGCAAGGGGAGGGAGGGGGAGCAGTGATGAGAAAACATTTATCAGCATCCGGTAACTCTCCAGGAGGGACTCGCCGCTCCCATTTCATAGAGGGGGAAACTGAGGCATAGAGAGGGGTTGGGACCTGCCCAAAGTCACACAGAGCTAGGGATTGAACCCTGGATCCCAGCCCCTCTGCTCTAACCACTAGACCCCACTCCCTTCTCAGAGCTGGGGGACAGAACTCTGGAGTCCGACCCCCTAGCTCAGACCTCCTTGCTGTCCCGCTCAGGGCAGGGTGCTGGGAAGATTGACAGGCAGCAGGTCACAGGGAGAAGGGACGTGGGCGGGATCCCGGACTCCCTGCCCCCAACCGGGGATGCCCACCTGTAGGAAGTTATTGCTCAGTCGCTCGTAGCGTTTGAAGGCCGGCCGGCTGGTGAAGTAGCCTGTCCAGAACTGGTGCGGCCCGTCAGCGTAAGGGAAGAAATCGTCGTATTTGAGGGACCTGTGCGACACCAAAGAGGGTCTCCTCTGCAACTCATGGGTCCAGGAGACCCGGACCTTCTCCCTTCCCCCTCCTCAATCCACCCCACCTGCACACTGCCTGGCCAGAGGGGGGTAGCCAGCCAGCCCGCGCCACAGCTCAGCCCCTGAACCCAGCACCAGCCACCCCCAGGGCCCGAGGAACAGAGAGAAGGCTTATAATGGCATGGAAGAAACTAAAGAGAGATGTGCTCATTTATATACTCCAGTGCGGCGCTAGGGGGCGCTCTGCAGCAGGGAGCGGGCTCAGCAGGGAGCACTCTGCCCTTCCAGTCAGGGCTGACCCCAATGCAGCACTAGGGGGCGCTGTGCGGCAGAGAGCAGGGTACAGGCTCAGTAGGGGGCGCTCTGCCCGTCCAGTCGGTCCCCAGGGCGGCTCCATCATTACCCCTCCAAAGGGGACGCACCGGGGGTTGGCAAGACCATCCTCTCCGCCCTAGCATGGGGGGCGTGGGACAGCGCAGGCCACCCCAGGTGGGTTCCTGCCAGCCCCACACCGCCCTCCGGCCCCGGTGCTCACCACGACAGGTTGGCTTTGAAGAGTTCCCACAGGTAGCAGGTGGGGGTGGAGTACAGCACGTGAACCTGGCTCCCGTTGAGTTGCTGGAAGAGACACAAGGGGGTGGAGGAAGCGGTGGGGCAATCGGGCCAGGTGGGGGCTGGGCTCTGTCGTCCCTAGTGGCCAGTCAGGGTAAGGAGTCTGCTGCAGCCTCCAGCTACCAGGCCTCGGTCCGTCGCTCAGGCAGCACAGCCTGCCGCTCCCAGAGCCCGAGGACCCGGGTTCGAGCCCAGCCGTTGCCCCCATCACAGCAGGGCCCTGCCGAGTGCAACAGGCCTCCTGCCTGGGCCACGCGGCTGCCCCCAGGGGCCTGGCCTGTGGGTCAGGAAGTGGGAGCCCAACCCTCTGCGTCTGGAGCGGGGAGCCTCTCCCGGCCCAGTATGCATCCCAGGCGGGTCCCCACCGGACTGGGAAGCCCTGCCCCGCAAGGGGCTCCTGCCCCCCCCCCCGGTTACCTGCGCGTTGACGTGTTTGATGAGCTTGTCCATGTTCTTGTACCACAGGTTGGCGTTCTCGTACTGGAAATCCGAGCCCATTGTCATGACAACGTGCTTGGTCCGGTAGTGCTTGGCCTGTGACAGAAGGAGACGCTTCAAGCTCCCCGCTCAGAGAGCCCCCCCTCTCGGTACCCAGATCCCGAGCTAAGGCCTCCCCGTGGCGAGAGCCTGGCAGGCAGCCGGCGCAGGGAAGAGCAACATTGTTTCGGCAAAATGGAAGTGTTTTTCTGCAGGAAATTCTGGCTTTGCGAAACGGGCGGTTGGCGGAAAAGTCATTTTGCGACCGGTGTGTCGGTGTGCAGAGGTCCCGGGGCACTGGGCCGACACACCGGTCACCGGAGCTAATGACAGAGATCGCCTGGAGAGTCCCCCAGGGAGGCTCCCCCAGTGCGATCTTGGGGCGGAGGAGGAAAATGGAGACCGGTCCAAAACATTCAGCTGCGTATTGCAGCTGACCAGAGACTGGTGGCATGTCACAGGGGCTGGAGCTGTCCCTGAGGCAATCCCATCACAAGGTGCGATCCTTACGCTCCTTTCTGGGGCTGGTCTGTTATTTAAGAGGACAGGCACCGCAGTCCATGCTCTACACGAAATTATTATACCAGGGACAGAAATTATTACACCGGCATCCGGCCACGCAAGGGTGAAGCTAACAATGGACCCAAGAAATTCACATCCCCCGAAAGGGGCTTTACTACAGCCCCTCTCTGGCTATAAAATGACACTTTCCCCCATGGACCAGCAATTCCCCACCCAATCTCCAGGCAACCTCTAAGCGCCAGCCAATCACAAGAGTCGGCCACGAACAGCTGAGCGTCCTCCGATGGCGGAGGCAGGAATCAAACCCAGGAATCCTTACTTCCAGCCCCCTGCTCGAGCCATTACACCCCACTCCCTTCCCAGAGCCAGAAACAGAACCCAGGCCTCCTGGCTCCCAGGCCCTTTGCTCTAACCCCTAGACATAAGGCCAGCTGGCTGCAGAGGGTCCCCTCCCAGCTCTCACCTGGGCAGCCGCAGTTCCCAGGAAATACGCCACCAGGCTGTCCACATTATTCTCATCGCTCACATCATCCACAATGGGGCTGTCAGAGCAGAACTGGTCCCAGCAGAGGGACAGGGGCGGGTTGTAGCCGTTGGGAAGGACACCTGGGTGGAGGGGGGTGGGGGGAACAAGATCACCAGGGGCACAGGCACCTGGGTGGGATCCAGCCAGCGATATGAGGGACGATGCGGGTGTCGGGGGCCAGCACAGAGCCAGGGCCCACAGCTCTGCCTTGTGAGGCTGTCCCAGGTTGGGGGTGGGGCCCACCAACTGATGGGCACAGTGGCAGGGCAAAAGGAGCTGGCCTACAGGGGTGTAAATGCCAGGGAGGGAGGGGGCTCTGGGGGAAAGGTGAAATCCAGGCCCCAAGGGGGAAAGATCTGATTCTGTCCAGCCAGGAGTGCAGGCAGCACGGCCCAAGGGTGCTTGCTCCCAGCCCGATGGGACCAGAGGTGGCAGTGGGGAAGGGTCCCTGTCCCCTCCCCTGATCTGAAAGGGCCCCACACCACCTGGCTGGGCATGGGGGATTCCCAGGTAGACAGGGGAGCGTGTGCTCCCTGGGCACCTCCCCAGCAACCCAATCTGTTCCCCCAGCCCTGATTAGGGATGCCACCTCTGAAGTACAAAAGGGGGGGGGACAAAAAAGCCCAGGGGGAGGGACCCCCAGGCCAGCTCCTCTCCTCCCCTCCCTTCCAGGCCCCCAGCTGGACACCCCAGGTCCCATCAGGTGGGTCGGCCTGGGGGCAGCCTTTCTGCTTCTGCCACTGCCTCCCCCTCAACCATGAGTCTACCCCCCCCCCGCCCCCGACACACACCTGGAGCCCACCCACCTGCCAGCTCTGGCTGCCCATTGGTCCGTGGCACCGTCTGCCTGTGGCACAGGTGCCCCGCCCCCCAAAACTGGGATGTTCCAGACTTGCCAGCACTCCCACTCCAGCTCACCGGTGAAAAGGTCGGCCCCGGGTGGCTGCAGGCTGGCGCTCGCTCTCCAGATCTGCTCCATCTCCTGCAGCTGCTCCCGGTTGGCTTTGTCCTGGTAATCCAGTCGGCCGAAAAAGAAGCCATCAAAGCCCATCTGGAAAGGGGACGGCAGCAGGAGGGGTCAACGCCAAGAGCCCGAGAGCCAGCAAATGCTGAGGCAGCAGCGTGACCTCATGGCTAGAGTGCTAGACGGGAACTCAGGAGACCTGGGTTCTATTCCCAGCTCTGCCACTGACCTGCTGGGTGACCTTGGGGAAGTCCCACCCCTACTTTGTGCCTCAGTTTCCCCACCTGGAAAATGGTGATAATGCTCCTGACCTGCACAAAGCACTTTGAGACCTGCTGATGGACAGTGACACACACTGTCCCCAGCAGGCTACCCCCTTGGCCTCCGAAGTCCCTGCCCATTTGGGGTGGGGGGGGTGCACGGTTCCAGGCCCCCCCAGGGGACTTCACCTGGGCGAAGAGGGAGGCCTGCTCTCGGGAGTGGCCGAAGGGGTCAATGTGCCAGGCGGCGCGGGGCCGGCCGCACTCCCCGAAGGTCTCCTGCAGGAAGCGCAGCCCCAGCGTCATCTGGTCAATCATGGCGTTGTAGTGGGTGGCCGCCTCGTCATTCATGCACCAGCCGCCATTGATAAATTCCAGCCGCCCTGTAGGGAAGGAGAGGGGGCGGGTCGCCCTCAGCGCCAGGCGAGCAGGGAGGCCGGGCACCGCTGGGATCTGCAGCTGCCTGGCGGTGCCGGGGAAGAAGAGAAGCCAGGGACTTTCCGAGGGTGTGGGGCAGCATGGACATAAGATGACACTGGCCAATATCACGTGTGCATGTGAGAGATGCTGATCCACACAAGCAAACACTGTGTGTGTGAGGCAGACGCACACCCACACGTGTAGGCTACCTGCAGCCATAGCTAGGAGTGTCTGTGATCTGCTTTTTTACACTGTGCCAATAAAGATCTGAATCAAGTTGTGCGAGAGACACAAGATGACCCAAGCAGAAGCCCCACATGTATGTGTGGGACAGAGACACACCCCAGACATTTGCTCCCTCTGTGCGTGTGTGTTATGAGGTACCCACCAGTACAGGCAAAGGGTCAGTGTGGGAGAGCGAGACCCACACACTGGGACAGGCACAGGTGTATACAGTACAGGCCAATGCAGGGATCTGATGCGTTTGCTGGCGCACACGCACAGGGAGTTTGGGTCAATAAGTGGGTGTGCATGGCATGACGCACAACAACCCAGTCAGGCATATTATCTGGGCATGTGGCTTTCACACACCGGCCTCTAGTGACGTTGCACTCCATATGCTTTGTAAAAATATGTTTCTAAGTGTGAATATGATGTAACTGGAATATGCTGTATGCAAAAGGTCTCCTGTAAGGTATCATTACAAAGCTTATAATCCACTGAGTGTGGTCATCCTATTTGTATGAATGTGACCTTCTTTTACCTGAAACTAGGAACCTGAAGTATAACTCTGAGGTCCTATTGTAATTATGTAAAGTGTGGGCCAATTAATGGTGGTTTAGAATCTTGATGGCTCCCATTGACCAGGACAACTGATTGTAAATGACAGGTTTCAGAGTAACAGCCGTGTTAGTCTGTATTCGCAAAAAGAAAAGGAGTACTTGTGGCACCTTAGAGACTAACCAATTTATTTGAGCATGAGCTTTCGTGAGCTACAGCTCACTGGTTAGTCTCTAAGGTGCCACAAGTACTCCTTTTCTTTTTGGTTGTAAATGGTTTGTTTACCTGCAAGCCTTCCTGTGTACATGTACGGAAGAATGAGGTCTTACAGTGACATGTGATCAACCCCATCTTAAACCTGGTGCTTTTTCCATTTAGAAGGGGGTGTGAGGACCCACAGAGACAAAGGATTCCCGCCTTGTGCCAAAGCTATAAAAGGGAGTGGAACAGAACAAAGGGGACTGCCAGTCATGAAAAATTCCCTAGTTACCACCTGAGCAGGAACTAACAAGGTCTGTAACAGGGGAAAGGATTGGGCCCAGACTAGGAAGGAGTCTAGTCTGTGAAAGAAAAGGAGTACTTGTGGCACCTTAGAGACTAACCAATTTATTTGAGCATGAGCTTTCGTGAGCTACAGCTCACTTCATCAGATGTGAGCTGTAGCTCACGAAAGCTCATGCTCAAATAAATTGGTTAGTCTCTAAGGTGCCACAAGTACTCCTTTTCTTTTTGCGAATACAGACTAACACGGCTGTTCCTCTGAAACTAGTCTGTGAAAGAAGGTTATTGGAACATTACTGAGGGTGAGATTTACCTGAAATCAGTTTCTTAACGTATTAGGCTTAGACTTGTGTGTTTTGTCTTATTTTGCTTGGTAACTTACTTTGTTCTGTCTGTTATTACTTGGAACCACTTAAATCCTACTTTTTATACTTAATAAAATTACTTTTGTTTATTATTAAACCCAGAGTAAGTGATTAATACGTGGCTGTGCATCTCTCTCTATCACTGTTATAAAGGGCGGGCAATTTATAAGTTTACCCTGTATAAGCTTTATACAGAGTAAAACACATTGACTTGGGGTTTGGATCCCATTGGGAACTGGGTGTTTGGGTGCTGGAGACAGGGGACCTGTGAGCAGTTTTTGGTTAAAGTCTGCATATTTGGGGGCGTGGACCAGACCTGGGTCTGCATTGCAGAAGGCTGGCGTGTCTGGCTCAACAAGGCAGGGTTCTGGAGTCCCAAGCTGGCAGGGAAAACGGGCTCAGAGGTAACTTCAGCACGTCAGGTGACAGTCCCAAGGAGATCTCTCTGACCGAACCCCTCACACCACGCACGCCCACTGATTGACCCAGGCATATTATCTGGGCATGTCTCTTTCACACACATGGGCCTGTACTAGTCAGTATTGCACAACATACACCCAGAGGCACATGCGTGGTGCGTGTGTCAGAGAAACACACCCGCAGACCCAACTGAGGCAAAGAATCCCTGTGAGCGTGTCTCTCTCTCCCCATCTCCCCCACCTATGCAGACATCCCTCTGTATGAGCGGGCTGGGGACATCACCAGACCCAGCAGTGCAGGTCACTCCACCTTCTGCCACAAGAGCAGTGCCCAGCTGGGCGGGATCCCTTACCCTCGCTGACCAGCTGCCTCACCGCCTGCTGCATTGGGTTCGCCTGCAGCCGCCACCAGCGGTAGAAAAAGGCCACCTCGACGTAGATAAAGCGCTTAGTGGGGTCGGCCAGGAGCTGGGGAATGACCGAGTCCAGGATGTACTGCACGCCGGCGTGCTGGATGTTATTGCGTGCTGCGAAGGGAAGGCACAGGGCTGAGCAGAGACGTCCAGGGACCCATAAAGCAGGGACGGCAGCGAAGCCAGATCCCCCCGACCCAGCCACAGCACCGCCAGGAGGGCCGGATCCCCCACCTTACCACAACACCCGCAGCGCCCCTCCAGAGGGCTGGATCCCCCCGCAGCCATGGACAGCACCCCAGAGAATCTCAGATCTTTCTGTCTCTCCAGAGCAGGGGTAAGCCTCCCTCCCCAGAACTGCTCTGCACCTCCTGCAGTTCAAAAATCCGTCTCCCCCCCAGAGCAGGGACAGCATCAGGGTGAGATAAGCTTGCACACACAGCACCCCCGGAGTCTCACCCGTCAACCAGCCAGCCCCCACCCCATGGTCCATTCCCCACCCACTCAATCAGCCAGTCCCCCCTCCCCCCGGCCTTGGTTGAAAGGCCCTATGACCTAGGCTTCTGCTTAAGTCACGCCCGTCCTGCACTGCTTTCTCTATGGCCTGAGAGATCAGATGCTCCAAAGGTATTAATGTTTCCACTAACTACGTGCTGACCTTGACTGATGTCATGGAAAAGCCGCCCACGTTAGACGCGGCCTCTAAAAGGTGAGTAAAACCACGGGCTTATTATGGCCGGGGGAGAACAGCAGGGAATGACAAAGATTCAACATATTCCTTGGCCTAGCAAGGACGGATACAAAACGCTCTGAGGAAGCATGATGTAATGATGGGGGGGAGGGTGGGGGACAGTGTGTTAGATTCCTTGCTTCTGGGAGAGGAGTAGGGCCTTGTCGTTAGAGCACAGGGGTTGGGGAGACTGGGATTGAGGACTCCTGGGTTCTATTTGCAGGTCTGGAGAGGGAGCAGGGTCTAGTGGTTAGCTCAGGGTGGGGATTTCGGGACTCCTGGGTTCTAATCCCCACTCAGATTCACTGTGTGACCACAGGCAAGTCCTTTCCCCCAACTGTGCCCCGTGAAGCTAGGACGCTTAGTCCGTGAGTGCATGTGAACTGCCATGAAACATTCTGGCAGGCGACACAGACTTTATCAAGTATCTGGCAGGGAGGCAAGGTGGGAGCGTACCCAGGCCTGGGGCAGGTCCCTACAGCCCAGCCAGGGTTGGGAGGTGCTCTCTACCTCCATCAGCAGCAGAGGAAGTAAATATGCTGATGAGAATAAGATCTCTGAGCAGCGCTTCCTCCCCCACCCACATCTTGCTGCAGAAAGGAGCCCTCCCTCAGCTTGGACTCATGCAGGGTCACAGCCAGCTCTAAAGCCAGCAGAAACAGGGATCAGATAGCGACATTGGCCTTCAGATTTGATCCCGCTTCGTGGGCTGGCTGGCTTAGTGTGTTTGGGGAAAGGGGATCCGGGGTGTGTCTGTTCTCTGGGACACAGGACAGCCAGAGTCTATAATTCCTGGCTCTGCCACTGGCCTACTGGGTGACCTTCGGCAAGTCTCCTCACTCTGTGCCTCAGTTTCCCCACCTATAAAAAGGGGATGACAATGCTGACCTCCTTTGTCAAGTGCTTTGAGATGTACTGATGATGAGCCCGAGGTAAGAGACCAGGATTAACCCACTGAGTCTGACTGCAGCAGCTCCGGTGCACGGAAACCCTCCCTCCCGCCCCTTGCGCACAGTCTCTGCCACTTACCTCCATAAAAATACTGATCCACTGTTTTCAGCCAGCCCACATCATTGTGTGTGTGAGGGATCAAGTGGACATTCAGCATATCTGGTTTAGTGGCCGGGCAGGACTACGAGGAGAAAAATAACCAGACATGCTACAAACTGGAAGGGAAGGCCACAGCCCCATTGTAAGAGTTCTCGGGGCCAATAGGAGATACCTATCTGAACGGATATTGCTTGGTGTAGCCAGCGTGGAATGCTAGAGGTGGAAAGAGGCAATTGTCTTCTTGGCAGCCCCCTGCTCAGAGCTGGACTGCTCCCTGCCCTAGATTCTCCAGGGCTTTGGACAAACACTTATTGAAAAATAAATCACGTGCCAACAGCAGACTGAAGGAGTTTTTCCACTGATGTAGTTAATCCACTTCTCTGAGAGTCAGCAGCTAGGTTGACAGAAGGATTCTAGCTGTATCTACACCAGGGGTTAGGTTGTCCTAAGTCCAGCACTCATGGCACTAAATTTTTCACAGCCCTGAGCGACAGAGCTAGGTCAATCTAAGTGTTCAGTGTAGACCAGGAGTACCTGGCTGGGGAGTCAGGACTCTTGGGTTCTAGCCCCAGCTCTGGAAGGGAGGCAAGGTCGGTGGTTAGAGCAGGGAGACTAGAAGTCAGGACTCTGGGGTTTGATCCCCAGCTCGGTAGGAAGAGTGGTGTCTAGTGGTTAGAGCAGGTTAGAGCTGGGTTCTACTGTCTGCAACCTTGAGCTGCAGGCTCCCCAGCTGTAAAATGGAAAGATTTCACCCTGGCCAGGGTGCTCAACTTTGCAGAGCTCACAATGGGAGGTGGCTAATTATCGTAATAATCATCTCACTGAGAGGAAGCAACAGTTTAGGGAGATGGTGCGGGAGGAAAGGAAGAGGAACAAGCTGCAGAAACAGACAAAGGCACCAATCTGCACAGTATTATAATCCCCTAGAGCGCCCGCCCCACACACACACACTGCTAGGGCTCAGCCTAAGGTCAAGCGTTCAGTGCTCCCTGTTTTACTGAACTCGGGAGGGGTGGGGGTGACCCTGGAAAAGGTTAGTTATCTGCTAATGCGATGAAGCATTGCTTTGAGCCCCAAGCTCCCCGCCAGGGCCGAGAATGGGCGGCGGAGGGGGGATGGAAATTAGACCCAGCCACTGCAACCTGTCCTCTAAACTCTGGACTGTCCTGCCTTCCCCACCAAGCTCCCCCACAAGAGCACCCCCCACCCCACTACAGAACCTCATCCCCCCCTTCATCCCACAGTCTCAGAACCCCCAATGCAGATGGGCCCTCCTCTCACCCCTTCACCTCCCCCTTCTCCAGCCAAAGCTCACCCACCCCTCAGAAATCCTTCCCCCGACCCTCCTTCACCCGCTGCTCCCCCCACCAAGAAATCTCCCCTATCCCACCACCGCCCACTTCCCCAGAGCCGCCCCCATGCCTCCCCTTCAGTCAAAGCCCCCTATTTATCCCCTCCACACAAAGCCTTCCCTTCTGCCTCCTCCAAAAGCTCATCTCCCCAGGCCCCCTACTTCCATTAGCTCCTCCACATGCCCCCACTTCCTGCCCCCCAGACCCTCGCTCTCATCCCACCCTGCTGCCTCTCCCTCTCCCAGCCCCTTTGGCTTCTTCACCCCATCTCGCTCATCCCAAGAGCGCCCCCGCCAGCAGCCCCCTCTCCCTCCCCCCCAGCAGCCCACTCCCCCCCCCGGGGCTCCCTGTCTCCTCCGATTCTCCTCTGCTGCCCACTACCTGCCCCACTGCCCGAGCCCCTCTCCCGACCCCACACCCAGACCCCCGCCAGGGCTCCCCCGCCCTCACCTCGTAGCCACAGCCGGCCGCGGCCGCCCGCAGCAGCCCCACGCCCAGGAGCAGCCCCACGAGCGGCCCCATCGCCCGCCTGCAACCGCGACCCCCGGCGCCTAGCGGGCGGGCGGCTCCCGCGATCATGTGACCAGGCCTCCACGTGACTCCCTGGCCACGGCATGCGGCTTCTCGCTTCGCCCCCCGCGGAGGAGCCAATCCGCAGAGACGGGGCGGGGCCACGGCCTTCATTCGCCCCTCAAAAGCGTCAATGCAAATAAGGGACGCGCTGATTGGCTGACGGGGAGAGGGCGGGGCCATGACCTTGCTCCCACAAAATCCCCCCCCATGCACCTCCATCTAGCCCCCTCCCAAAAGTGACTCCCCCATTGACAGCAGGCCGGAGGGCAGGGAGTGGGGAGGGCTGGGGCGACCCCTTCCCCGGGGGCCAGTCTCTGGGGCAGGGAGTGGGGAGGGCTGGGGCGACCCCTTCCCCGGGGGCCAGTCTCTGGGGCAGGGATCTCAACCTCGAATCACCACAAGGGCCACATGAGTGACACCTTTCCACACCACCCTATAAAAGCATAGGCAAAAATGAAGAGTAATCTAGTAGGCTACTAAAAGTCAATGAATTCGCTTTTTTAAAACTGTAAATGCTCAGCAATGCACCTCACTCAAAAGACAAAACACACATTTGCTTTTAGAATTACTTCCCTTAAAGCCCCCCTTTGCCCCCGGCCTCACCCCCACTCCACCCCTTCCATGAGGCTCTGCCCCTGCCCCGCCTCTTCCCACCTTCCCCAAAGTCCCTGCCCCAACTCTTCCGCCCCCTCCCTGCCCCTATTCCAACCCCTTCCCCAAATCCCCGCACCAGCCCCGCCTCTTCTCCACTTCCTCCCCGGAGCGCACCGTGTCCCCGCTCCTCCGTCCTGGAAAGTCCTAAGCGTCGCCAAACAGCTGTTTGGCAGCGGGAGGCGCTGTGGGATAGGTGGAGGAGAGGGGACGCAGCACGCTCCGGGACAGGGCGGAGGGTGAGGGGAGTTTGGCTGCTGGTGGAGTCAGCGCCTATGGCAGGCCGCAGGAAATAAATCCGCAGGCCGCATGTTTTTCAGACCCCGGCTCCAGGGGATGCCTCCTGAGAGCCAGTGTGGGGCTCTCCCATTGGTGGGCACCGTGGCCTGGAGTGAATCTCCCAGGGAGCTGAGGCTGGCCCCTTTGTGTGGGGATGGGGGCCAGCTGTGCTTTACGCTGTCACCAGGACCCTTGAGGGCTGGGGCGAGGTTTACACCACCCCACCCCTCCATCCACATGCCTGCTGAATCTGAAGCCTTAGCCCTTCTCTGTGAAACGGTGCGAGTGCTTCCTAATAACCACGTTCCAGGCTCAAACCCCCAGCCTTTCGCTGCTAGCCTCGGAAGCCAACTACAGCCTGCAGCATCCTGCTGGTTTGAAGTGAAAGTGTGTATTGATCTAGGTCTGGTGAAAAGGTGCCAACAGAACAAACCTCTGAGACTTAAGTCCTCTGTCCACAGAGCAGATGCAACGTGGCCAGGAGCCAGCTTAAGCTTCCCCCTTATGCCATCCTCCCAGTGGGCGAGGACCCCACCCAGCAGAGAGCAATCTCTATGGCCGAGTCAACACTTGGCCTCTGTACTGTCAACAAGTCAGTTAGTGCCAGTCATGGTGAATTATTTTTACAATGGGGACCCTCGGAAACTGGACTGAGACCCACAAAATATCAGTTCGATGGTAAGTACTTTCAGCCCCTATGAACCGGTGACAGAGATGAAAGGCACCATCCTACATGCGCACAGATTATTTTTTTAAACCAAAGCTCCTACAGCAACAACCCATTTATTTTGATAGCCGAGTGTTACAACACACTGCTTGTACAAACAGATGGTTCTAGCGTGTGAATCCTTCCTCTCTGCCGACAGCATCTCTCTGGGATTTGCAAGGAGTTGTGCAATGAGCTGTAATCTCTTCACCAAGGCGGGGACATGGGTTGGGGATTCTGGAGATAGGACATCACCACCGCAGAGATAGACAACCTGAATCCAGAGGAAGAAAAATCAATCATTTTAAAAACCAACCAACCATGAGGTTTTTTTATTATTTCAATATCCACCGTCATGTCTGGGTCTTGTACAGCATTAGCATGTTGGTGAACAATTCCCAGGGATTCCAAAGTACTTGCTTTCTCACCCATGCATACGAGGATTGCTCACCCACCCGGAAATGGAGCCACCTCTACAGTGGAAGGGAGCAGCTGCTTAATGTCAAACACTGTACAGTAACTCCCCACTTAACGTCCTCTCGCTTAACGTTGTTTCAACCTTACGTCCCTGCTCAATTACAGAACATGCTCCATTTAAAGTTGTGCATTGCTTCGCTATAACGTCATTTGGCTACCTGCTTTGTCCACAGCTGGCAGCTCCCCATCAGCTCCTCTACGCCCCGCCCCCCAGAGCGCCTCCCGCCCACTGGCAGACCCTGTGTATCAGCACCTTTCCCCTCCTCCCCCAGCTTCCTGCCCACGGCAATCAGCTGGCTTGCAGCATTCAGGAGGCAGGGGAGGGAGGGGAGCCTGTGCGCCAAGTCCTCGCTCCTCCCTCACGAGCAGGAAGCAGGGGAGGGAGGGAGGAGGAGGGAGGACGTGGCATGCGGAGTAAAGGGGGAGGAGGGGGGGAAGAAGAGGTGAGTTAAGGGTGGGGACTTGGGGGAAGGGGTGGAGTGGGTGGGCCGAGGGTTGAGCCCCCCACCCCTGGTTCTTGCAGAGTAGAGGAAGCTGCCACTGCTGGTGCACAACAAGCTTCTCCTAGCCTACAGCACCTTCAGCCTCCTTGCCTGCCTCATTGTCTACAGTGCCAGTGGGCTGTCCCTGTGTGGGGTAAAGTGAGGGCACCTCCCAACTATAGTACTGTACTGTACAGCAAAAAAAAAAATTTCCCTGGAACCTAACCCCCCATTTACATTCATTCTTCTGGGGAAATTGGATTCGCTTAACATTCGCTTCACTTAATGTCACATTTTTCAGGAACATAACTACAACATTAAGTGTGGAGTTACTGTACCAGTTTTTGACGAGATTTTTCATCCAACTGGAACTGCAGCGTAGGTATTTAAGGAAACAGACTGTAGATTCCAGAGTTGGGAATTGGTCAGGACATGGGTTCACAGCTCAGCTTTTAGGAAAAGATGCCATGGAATTTAATACCCAAGAACAAATGAGACCTTGGTTTTGGATCTCATTCAAATGATGGCACCTCCAACAGACCAGCCCTCTATCACCAAAGCACCATGCTGGGGCGCTGGTTCATTGCTGACTAGGATGAAGAGTGCTCCGTACTAATCACCAACACCATTTTATCCCCATTTTACAGATGGAGAAACCACGGCAGCAGGAAAGTGTCAAAGTGTAAAATCATGCAGTATTAGTGGCAGAGTTGGGTACAGAACCCAGAAGTTCTGGCTTCTACTCCTCTGCTCTAACCACAACACGGACAGGCAGGCACATTTGGATGTATGTCTTCCATTCACATGGTGAGTCAATGAGACAGTAAAAGGAAGACAATGACTCACATGAAGCTGCTCATCATCTGTTTGGTGTCCTCTGAGCTTCTGGAGTTGGCAAAGCTAATGAAGGAGCAATAGACAGCAATCCAAGCACACCACTTCAGCTAGAAACACAGAGGAACTAATGTGAGAGCCTCAAAGTGGGCACTTATGGGATCTCTCAGGATCTTCAATATCTAATAATACTGGGCAAGTCCCAGAGCTCTTTAAAACATTCATTAAACAAAGATCACAACCCCTGCTCCCTTGTGAAGTTAGTTAGTTTCAGTACCATTTCACTGACTCGCACAAAGGCACACAGCGAGTCAGTAGCAGAGCTAGGAAGAGGAACCCAAAGTCCTGGCTCCCAGTCCCCTAATTTAACCAATAGGACACACTCCCTCCTCCAGCCAGGAAGAGACCACAAGAGCCTTGACTCCCAGTTCCCTTTTCTACCCACTAAACACTCAGCAGAAGTTGACTCTTTCTCTTCCAATTCTATTTCAGTGCAATGGCTTAGACCACTCTAGGTCTCCCCCTCATCCATCCCCCAAATCATTTAACATAGGGAGGCTCTGGAATCCCTGTCACTGGAGGTTTTTAAGAGCAGGTTAGGCAAACATTTGTCAGGGACGGTCTTGGCATACTTAATCCTGCCTCAGTGGGCTGGGGGGACATGCACAAAGCGGGAGGGTCTTGGAGCCCAGGCTCCCACCTGAGCGGGAACGTCTGCACTCCTATTCTTAGCTCTGCGGCTGAGCCAACTGATCTGGTTCTGAGACTCGGTGCCGTGGGATTTTCTTTGCAATTCAGATAGACACTAGGTGATCTCCTGAGGTCCCTCCTTGCCCAGCATTTCTAGGATTCTGTGAAAGAGCAGCCAGTTGGTGAAGGGAACAGGCACGGTGAGGCTATGGAGTGCTACAACGCCCAGCTGCCCAGATGTCCTTTATAATAAAGAGCAGGCATCTCATGTTTGTGTCACCCTAGAAGGCATCTTATCTATGCAAGAGCTAATGTTCATGCCTTTCCTGCGCACCTTAAGCATTAAGCCGCACATGCTGAAAATCATCCCCAGCAGGTTCATGTAATCTGGAGTGGGATCTTCCAGCGTGGGGTTGTTCTCTGTAGACGGAGGCTTGTACCTACAAAGCAAGCGTGAAATGGCATGTTAGGAGAGAGAGGAGGGAGTGTTAACTCACGCTTGGAAACTATTCGCTCTCTTCTCCATAGGTAGCGTGAAGATAAACAGGGATCTGCAGGGGTGTGGAATGGGATAAGGGGCCTTTCATCTCCAAGTCACTGGTATCAGGCCAGCCCTAGCTCAAGCAGACTGGGTGGCTCAGGGTGGGGATAAGGAATCAGACACGGGGGCTTTCTCATCTAGAGCAGTGGTTCATATCCACCCCCAGGCCTGAGCAGCTTAGTACACCAGGGAATGAGATGTGGAGCCTTTCACCTCCATTAACCAGGTTTAATGCAGGTAGAGAGGGACCTAAAGTCAGTCCCAACTGAGGTCAGTTCATGGGAAATGAGGTGGCAGGTTTCCGGTTGGTTGTGATTGGTGAAGGGGGTGGTGGTGTCTTGGGAACAAGAATAACCTGGGGTGAGAGATGCCAGTATCTCCACTTCCCTGCTCTCTGCCATAACCCTCTGACAACTGGCCAGATTCCTGCCACCCACCCCTCGGGGTCCTGCTGGGCAACCCCACCGGACACAGGCCCCGCGGCGATCACCCGCCCCTCAGGGTCCTGCTGGCCAACCCCACCGGACACAGGCCCCGCGGCGATCACCCGCCCCTCGGGGTCCCGCTGGCCAACCCCACCGGACACAGACCCCGCGGCGATCACCCCTTCCCATTTAACAGGAGAATTTGCCCTGCCCCAAGGCTTTGGCTGTCAAGGGGCTGCCATGTGGAGCTCGCTGGCCGCTCGTCCCTCGGGGGCACGCTCCAGCCTTCCCTATGGGGCAGCGCCGTGGCCTCACGACGGGGCCCCAGGGCTGCCAGGCTCAGGGGTTCTCACACCTCTGTCCTGGTGACCCCCTGTCACGGAGCAAGCCTCGGAGTGCGACCCCCGCGCTGGAAACACCGTGTATCTGTTGAACCCCGTTATAAATGCTGGAAGCCCAGCGGGGGGGGGGGGGCTGACAGCTCGCGACCCCCGTGTAATAACCCCCCGTTTGAGACCCCCTGACCCGCAACCCCCGGCCCGGCCCGCCCCGCTCACCTCAGCACCTTGTTGGGCCGCCGGGGGTCGCTCATGCTGTTGCCGGACATTTGCTCCCGGGGGGCGCGGATCGGTGTAACACCCCGCGGCCCGCAGCAATGGTTCCGGGACACCCCCCGCCCCCCGCGCCTGGCCGGGGCGAGCCGGTCCCCGAGCCTGGCCCCACGGCGGGCGGGGGACGAGGCGGGGCCGACAACGAGCCCTGCACCCCGCGGCGGGTCCCGCTCCGAGCAGGTGGGGCCAAGCGGGGCGGAACCAAGGGAGCCGGAACCTGCGGGGCCAGGGGACGGGAATGGGAGGCGGACACAGAGGCCCCTCTCCCCGGTGCTGCGTGGGGGAGAGGAAGCAAAGGGGGGGGCCTGGGGCTGGGGGGTGAGTGAGACTGATGGGCTGGGGAGGGCTCTGGGGGCTCGGGACCGTATAGGGGGATGATTGAGCCTTAATAGGCTGGGGAGGCTACGGGGGTTGGAAGGAGACTAAGGAACTGGGGGCTGTAGGGGGCTCTATAGGCGCAAGGCTGGGGAGGCCACGGGGGTCTCTGCAAGAGCTGGGTTGAAGGGCGCTGCACACAGCTCTGTAGGGGATGGCTCCAAATGTCTGCAGCTCCATAAGGCTCCCTGGGTCTTAATAGGATGACCTCTGTGTCCCCGACCGCACATGGAACCCAGCCACGGCCTAGATCTAGCGGGGGTTGGATTTTCCCTTTCCCTGCCTCCTGTGGCAGCAACAGGCACCAAATCACTTTCCTGTTGTTTCCTTAGCCAGGGCGGCGCCAACCGCTTCCCCGAGCTTGTGAGCGAGTGTCTCCGGCCCCCAGGGAGACATCCGTAAAGCTGGAGTGTGGTGAGAGATTTGTAACCTGCCCCAGCTGACCCCTATTGTATCTTGTCCCCCCACCCCCATGCTTACAGAGTCCAGATCTCCCAGATTTAGCCACCATAGGTACTTGGTACATAGCCGCTTGGGTCCTATCATGGCGTTTCCTGAACCGAAGCCCAAGAAGCCAGAGCTGCCAAAGAAGCTGGTGCAGAATCTGGAGTGCAAACAGGGAGCGGTCAGGGCAGTGAGGTTTAATGGTGAGTGTGTCCTCACGGGCCCTGTGAAGTGAGTCAGTGGGGTCTAGTGGGTTGAAATGAGGGCTAGCACTCCTGGATTCTGTTCTCAGCTCTGGGAGGGGAGTGAGGTCTAGTGGTTAGAGCAGCAAAGTCAGACCCGTGCGGGGCATTTAGAGCCCTGTTGATGCCAGCAGATGTCAAAGAGTTCAGACTGTTAATGTGTTGCTTATTGTTGTGTCCTGGTGGGAATGAGGATGTGTCTTAGTGGAGATCTGCCCTTAGTTTCTTCCATCATTTTGGGGGTTGGCTTGGAGGGGGCAGCTGGGAGAGCATGCATGGGACTAGCAGGGAGCCATGCAGAGCAAGAGGACAGCAGGGAGAAAAGCACCGCTGTGGGTGGAAATGCTGGATGTGGGGTTAGTGCCCCTGTGGGTTACGCTGTCCCTTTGCATCATTCTCCATCCTGTCTCCTGCAGTGGACGGAAATTACTGTCTCACCTGCGGAAGCGACAAGTCCCTGAAGCTGTGGAACCCCCACAAGGGGACCCTCCTGAAGACCTACAGCGGCCATGGCTACGAAGTGTTGGACGCGGCTGGGTAAGGGCAGGGGACGGACTCTACTTCTCTCGTAACCCAAGGCACTTCAGGATCAAAACCACTGTAGAGTGTTTGGCACGCAAGTGGTTAAAGCAGGTGGGGAAGGGTATTGGCGGAGTGAGGACTCTGGGGTTCTATCCCCAGCTTTGGGAGGGAGTGGTTTTTAGTGGGTTGCGTAGGAGGGACACTGCTGGGAGTCAGGACTCCTGGGTTTTATTATGTCACTAATATGCTGTGTGGAATGTGTCGTCGTCCCCCCCAATGTGCCTCAGTTTCCCCCATCCGTAAAACGGGGACAGCTACGCTGACATGCCAAAGGGATGCAAAGCCTCATAGATGCACATCTGTAACCTCCCCCTGAGGGGTCGGATCCCAAGATAACACCTAACCTTGTCTCTCTGCTTCCCCCACAGTTCTTTCGATAACAGCCAGCTCTGCTCCTGCGGGGCCGACAAAACGGTCGTCCTGTGGGACGTAGCCAGTGGGCAGGTGATCCGCAAGTTCAGAGGTCACGCAGGGGTGAGGCCCATTTGGTTACTGCAGTGCTGCCCGGGTTGGGGGGTGCTGCAGGCTGATGTCAGCTGGCCTGTACATGTGGGGAATGACTTGGTTGGGTGTGGGGAGGCGCCAGGGGAGGCCCAGCTACTCTGTCCCTACAGGTGTAGCTGGCTGCCCCATTGCTTATTACATCAGGCCAGGGAGGCTCCCTTGCTCTCAGCCAGTGGGTGTGACAGATGGCGACCGTAACCCTTTGTGCGTGCTACCAGGGTGGGGACTGAATCGAGGTGGTGCTGCCTAGGGAGCGCATAGACAGGTGCAGCAACTAAGTGTGGGCAAGGGGGGAGGGTTTTAGCATGGTGAAGCAGCTCAGGGTTACATTGAGTTGCTTGTAGGGAGCGTTGGGAGGGGAGATGTGGGGCCTGTGGGGAAGCTGCAGTCAGGTTCAGGAGGGGCTGAGGGGATCAGTGTGGCTTGGGGGAGATGCTAAGGAGCTGGGGTGATTGCTCGGCGGATGGCCCAGCGACTGCAGGGAGAGCACTCGAGGGCCACGCACCGTGTGCTGAACTTGGCCCCGGTTGTCCTTCCTGACCTGTCTCTCCATCCACAGAAGGTGAACTGCGTGCAGTTCAACGAGGAGGCCACCGTGATCCTGTCGGGTAAGCAGACCGGCTCCGAATCCCCAGCTGACTCATTGCGAGTCCTTCAGGAACTCCGTGGACTGGCAGGGCTAGATCCGGCCAGGCTGTTACTCCGAATCTGCTCTGTGCTCTCTCCTAGGCTCAATTGATTCCAGCGTCCGCTGCTGGGACTGCCGCTCACGCAGACCCGACCCAATCCAGATCCTGGACGAAGCCAAGGACGGGGTGTCCAGCCTGAAAGTGTCGGATTACGAGATCCTCTCTGGGTGAGGGGAGCTGCGTCAGGGAGGGGGCCGTAGACCCAAGTGTGAGTTAGAAGAGCCAGAGCCCCCAGGACCCAGACCAAACAACCTTCATCAGGGTAGGGAGAGGCAGGTAACCTCCCCCACCAGGGATGTGCCGTCTCACGTTTGACCCTTGTGGGTTGCCATATTCGGGAATGGAGCTGATTCAGGGGCTTGACTCCCCCCTTCTCCAGCTATATTCTCAGGAGCTGCCCTGGGAGCGCCCCAGCTGGGCCTGGGCAGTGTGTGTGTTGGAGGACTGGGCATCTCATCCTCTGTACTTGCCCTGTAACCCCTTCCCCGTTGTCTCCCCAGCTCCGTGGATGGCCGCGTCCGGCGCTACGACCTGCGCGCAGGGGAGCTGTACTCGGATTACGTTGGAAGTGAGAGAAAACAGCTACCGCCAGGAGCCCTAGCCACGGAGCCAAGGCCAGAAGGGGGCGTGACTGCCTCCATAGCACAGGCCAGAGAACGTCCCTGGGTTCAGTCCTGCTTGTAGGAGACAGCCCACCAGGACTTAAAGTTGCCAGGGACAGAGAATCCCCCAAAAGCGCCGCATGCAGTCTGGGCAGGAATGTCCCAGTGGGATTAAGATCCCTCCCACTGCTGACTAAGGAGGACTTGTGGCACCTTAGAGACTAGCCAATTTATTTGAGCATAAGCTTCCGTGAGCTACAGCTCACTTCATCGGATCACTCTCCTTACAATGACAGGTTTCAGAGGAACAGCCGTGTTAGTCTGTATTCGCAAAAAGAAAAGGAGTACTTGTGGCACCTTAGAGACTAACCAATTTATTTGAGCATGAGCTTTCGTGAGCTACAGCTCACTTCAAAGTGAGCTGTAGCTCACGAAAGCTCATGCTCAAATAAATTGGTTAGTCTCTAAGGTGCCACAAGTACTCCTTTTCTCCTTACAATGTGTATGATAATCAAGTTGGGCCATTTCCAGCACAAATCCAGGTTTCTGCTCCCCTCCTCCACACACACACACAAACCCACTCTCCTGTTGGTAATAGCTTTGGAAATGGCCCAACTTGATTATCATACACATTGTAAGGAGAGTGATCACTTTAGATAAGCTATTACCAGCAGGAGAGTGGGGTGGGGTGGGGGGAGGTATTTTTTCATGTTTTGTGTGTATAAAAAGATCTTCTACACTTTCCACAGTATGCATCGATGAAGTGAGCTGTAGCTCACGAAAGCTTATGCTCAAATAAATTGGTTAGTCTCTAAGGTGCCACAAGTACTCCTTTTCTTTTTGCGAATACAGACTAACACGGCTGTTACTCTGAAACCTGCCACTGCTGACTGACACCAAGTGCCATGGGGGAGGGGAGGTGGGCTTGGCTTGGCTGATTAAGGGTTAGGGAATGGCCTCTAGGGGGCGCCAGTTCCAATGTTGCTCCAATGTGGGCACTAGACTGTCAGGGAATGTGACACAGGGACCTTCCCCTCTAGGGGCGCTGGTTCCGATCCAGCCCTAGGGCAGGCTGGGTGGAGGTTGGGGGAAATGGGACGCTGGCTCTGATGCGGCCCCTGGGCAGGGGGTGGCTGGCTTGAGAGGTAGGCGAATGAGTCACTGGCTCTGATCCAGACCTAGGGCAGGGGGCTGGCTGGCTCAGCTTTTACCCAGCACCCCCCTCTGCGCCAACTCCCGGTTTCCATCACCTCCAGCAACTGCTGCTTTGTCCTTGCAGGTCCTGTCACCAGCGTGTGTTTCAGCAAGGACGGGCAGTGCACGCTGGCTGCCAGCCTGGACTCCACCCTGCGCCTGCTGGACAAGGACACTGGGGAGCTGCTGGGAGAGTACGTGACCCCCTCGCCTTCTGGCCGGGAGCAGTTGGATGCGCATCTTAGGGCACACTTCCCCTCCCCAGGCGCAGAGCTGGGGCTTAACACAGGGGCTCAGCCAGTCCTAGGACCCTTGTTGCACAAGAGTCTCACGCTTGCTCTCTCTGGGGCAACCACTATCTGAGTCTGGGGTCTTAGACTCCCTCCCCCCCGCTGCAGCCTCCCAGCCAAACCCCTCAGGCCCAGCTCCTCAAAGGTGTTTAAACACCTGCCTCACTGAAATCCAGGGCCCCAGGAGGGGCCGCTCACCGCACTAGGGCCCTGTACACAAGGAAAGGTGGCTTCAGGCCAGCCTGGGGCACGGCCCGTGGTGTAATCCAGCTGGGGTACAGCAGGAGGGGTTCCCCGTTCTCCCCCATGCAGACCCTGTCTGGTGTGTTCCGCTCTAGATACACCGGCCACAAGAACACGGCCTACAAGCTGGATTGCTGCCTGAGCGAGAAGGACACACACGTAGCCAGCTGCTCGGAGGATGGGAAGGTGTATTTCTGGGACCTGGTTGAGGTGAGGGGGGGCTGCACAGGGCAAGTCTAGCTTGCAGTGGGTAGAGGCCCCACTCCTTGCCCTTGGCATCGGGCCCCTCCTTTCCTAGCCACTCTCACTGGGGGCCTTTCTATCCCCCGCAGGGCTCCCTGATGCTGAGCCTGCCTGTCGGCAGAGGTGTGGTCCAGTCCCTGTCCTTCCATCCCAGCAAGCCCGGCCTGCTCACCGCCACCGAGGGGCATGTGCAGTTCTGGAGAGAGGAGTCCCACATGGCAGAGGAGCAGCCGCCAGGCTGTTGAGCTGGAGCATTGGGTGTCCCGCCGTCCAATCACACACGGACTCAGCTTTGGGGCAGCTGCTTTATTGAGCCATGTCTCCGAGTCGGGGCGGCCGGGACTCTACAGACTCTGTGGGGGAGCAGCAGCAGCGAGCCCCAGAGCAGCGCATGCAGGAGTGGGGTGAGCCTGCCTTCTTGCCCTACGCAGCAGCTCAGACCCCAGCCATGCAGGAGTCGTGGGCCTGCCCAGCACCGATCTACCAACCAGTGACCCTACAGTCCCCATCTAACCGCCTGGCCCCCCACTATCACCCCACACTCCAGGGGGCGGCTGGACACAGCCCCAGATGGCTCAGAGGGCCTGGGAGACTTCAGAAGATACTAGGGGCTAACATTAATGGGGAGGCACCCCCACCCCCCCAAGGGCTCTGACCATCCTCCGTCTGGGACTTTGTTTTTTTAAAACTTCCTCAAAATCCATCCCCCAGGGCCTGGGCCCGGCTACTGCTGCCAGGCGTCCTTTCCATCGGTCAAGTACCCCGCAGTGACACCCCCCCCGCCCCCACTGCTTCAGCCTCAGCTGCCCCGGTCCGTTCCAGGGAGGGCACGACCAGCGCCCCCCGAGGAAACCGACAGCTGGGCACCAGGTCCAGACAGGAGCTAAACTCCGGTTTCCCTGCTGCACAGACGCTGCTCTTGAAGAGCAGCGGCCAGTAAATCGCTCCTGGGCAGGGGCGGGCAGGTGCCGGAGCTGAGCCCTACCGGGCGGTTCTCTCTCCGCTGCAGAAGGGGGTGTTCCGAGCGCAGGTTAGAATAACAGGCACCCGGCCTCTCCCCACGGGGGCACAGCTCACATCCCCCCCAGGCTGCCCTTGCGACTGTGCTCAGTTAACCTGCACTGAGTCGCGGGGCGCGGAACACGCAGCAGGGCAGGTTTAACGCAGCCCAGCCGCTGATGTATGAGGGGAGCCGGGGGTGAGCTGCTAACCTCCGTTGAAAGCTGGCCAGCCAGATCTTCGCTGCTGGTTTCAGCTGAGGTTAACACCCGGGGTAGGGCATATGTTCTGACCAGGTGGGATGGGAACACAGGGGTTCTTTCCCAAAAGCCGAATAATAAAATCGTGTTTGTTAAAACTTGCCATGCATCAGCGGGCCCGGGCCCAGGCCTGGCCATGCTGCCCCCAGCTACCCAAAGCGTCCAAATCCAACTGGAAGGAAGAACAGGTCCCAGCACGAGTCCATGGGGCCCAAGGTGGATGTGGGTACGGCGGTCCGCAGGTGCCAGGTTCTGCCAACGCCCCAATGCACTGAGCATCACAGCCCCTGAGGGCGGGCAAGGCCACCCCCATTCTACGGGGGGGGTGTCGGTCAGGGGTCACCCAACGAGTCAGCGGCAGAGCTGGGACTCAAACCCAGGAGTCCTGATGCTCAGGCATGCCCCAGCCCTTGTGAATTTGGAAGCAGGGTGTTAAAGAGAGGGATGGGGATAAAGCCAGACCCTCCCCACTTCCCTGGGATCCCAGGGCAAGCCCAGCACAGCCACGGGGCAGAGGCAGGGGGAGGTGCAGTGTCTGGTGATGGGCAGGGGTATGAACCTATTTGCTCCTGGGGCCTAGGACTCCCCTCCCCCTCCGGACTCCCCACGCTGCATCCCAGGCCGGGGCTCTGCTGGGCCAGGGGTCTCAGTCATGCTGCTTCTCGGAGCCGAAGGTGCTGGCTTTCTGGGCGAAGGTCTCGGCCACCAGCAGCGGGAAAACCAGGGAGGCGTCGGCATAAACCTGCCACCAGGAGAGCGAGCGGGGATGTGAGTGCAGGCACCCAGATCCTATACCCCCGCCATGCCCCCATCCCCCAATCCCTCCAGCTCCCCATCCCCCAACACGGCCCACACCCCCACCCTCCAGCTTTCCATGCCCACCTTCACTGGCTTGGCGTCTATGCGGATCTTCCCCCAGGACACCGCCTCGTCTGGCCGCGCCCCCCGAGTCGGAGCCGTCGAACTCCTGTGCTGTGTTAACGTAGACGGCGTAGTCGGCTCCGTTTCTCTGCAAGGCGGAGAGCGAGGGAGTGTGACACCAAGGCGGGTTTCTCCCAGCCCGCTCCCCCAAGCATGACGGGGAGGGAATGTGCCGTTTGAGGTTATAAATTTAATCCCCAAATAAAATGTTGGACCTAAAGCTACAGCACCGCTCTTAGATACACCTAGGTTAAGAACACATGAGCCTGACGGGGGGAGCAGGCGCGGCGGCCAGGCAGGTGGGCCCACCCGAGCCCAGTCAGCAGGGACACACCCACCCACCCACCATCCCAGGCCGCAGCCCGAGCCCCCCTCACCATCAGGTTGGCATTGGCGATGTGGTGCTTGACAAGCCCCCCTCCCAGGATGATCATGCCTGTCTTCTTGGCGAAGATGGCCTGGGTGTTGATCAGCCGAAGATCTGCCGAGAGAAAGAGACCATGGTGACCCCCTTCTTCCTGCCACCCTCTCCCAGGAATAGGACCTAGGAGTCCTGCCCTGTCCCCTCCCCTGCCTTAACCATTAAATCTCACTGCCCTCCCCGAGCTGGGCTAGAACCCAGAAGCCCCTCTGTGTCTTGTCTGGGGTAGGAGGTCTCAGCAGGGGGACAATCTGTATGCTCTTCGATAATGCAGAGAGGGTTCCCAAGAGCTCAGTATGAAGGGGGTCCCCCCCACTAGGAATCTCCCCAGCACTGCAGGCAGGGGGCCTGCGATTCCTGCCCAGTCTAAGCCAGGGGGCTGGGAGGGGGGTGCTGCACAGAAAGGACCATGCTTAGGGGGAGGGAGACAATCACCTTCCACGATGTCCAGCACCAAACCTGGGTTCTTGTAGGAGTGGAAGAAGATCATGTCCCCCAGGGATCCATCCGTCAGGGCTGGGCTCAGCACCGGGATGTTGTTCTGCAAAGGGGCACGAGTGGGGCAGGGAGTGTGGGGTGGGGCAGAGGAGATGGGAGGGGGAGTTTGCATTAGATCCCCTGTAGAAATTAACTGGGGGTGTGGGAGGTAAAGCAACAGCCTTGTGGGGGAGAGTCTCCCTCAAAGTAGCGTTTGTGGAGGAGCAGGGCCACTATATTATGATAGAGCCTAGACCCCCACCATGCCAGGTGCTGCGCGGACCCCCCCCCCACAAACCTTCCCCTGACCGAGACCAGGGCCCCCGGTCATGTCAGGTACTGTGTGGACATAGAGCAAGAGATGGTCCCTGCCCTCAAAGAGCTCACAATCTGAAGAGACAAAGGGTAGGAAGGGAAACTGAGGCACAGAGAGGGGAAGGGACTTGCCCTAGGCCACCCAGCAGGCTAGTGGCAGAGCTGGGAACAGACCCCAGCTCTCCCAGTCTGGCCCAGCACTCACCCCACTGGGAAACGCTACTGGTGGATTTGCCGCCCCAGGTTGAAGCCCCGGGGAACAGGCTGCTGATCCCCGCCCCAGACCAGGTGGGACCCAGGGGGCCATCATTATCTAGCCTGCTCTTAAAGGGGCAGCGCTCCAACCAGCTGGTCACCCAGGCTCTCCCAGAGAGGGACTCGGGGGTGGGGGGATGGCGGTGTGGTTCAGCTAACAGTCAATCCTAGCCCAGAAAGGGTTAGCCAGAACCCCAGTGGGGAAATGAACAGGACCCCCCGCCCACCCAAATTTCTCCCTCACCCCAACTGACCTTCTGTGCCCAGTAATAGACCGATTCAGGGTTGTTTATTTCCTTGCCCAGCCGTGCGATCATCTTGGACGGGGTCCATTTCACAGCCTGCAGGACCCAGGGGTCAAAGCTGTGGTGAAACCCCGCTCTCCTGCCTGGGCGACGCAACCCGACCTCCGCCCCAGCTCAGAGGGAGTTATCGAGGTTCACGGGCTCATCCTCACAGCTCTCCCCGTTCCAGTGCCAGGCATCCGTTACGGTACGGATAGGGAAACTGAGGCACAGAGGGAAGTGACTCTCCCAAGGAGTAAAACCCAAAAGTCTTGACTCCCAGTGCCCACCCACCCTCTGCTCAACTCCCTAGACCCCCAACTCCATTCCCAGAGCCAGGGATAGAACCCAGGTATCCTGACTCCCAGCCCCCCTTTCTCTAACCACTCCCCTCCCATCTACACATGCCAAGTATTTTGGCGAGGCGGGAGGATGTTGGGGGTGTTCAGTAGGGATCAGGTCAGAGACTTTCCCAGCATCCTACAGGCCCAGCACCATCCCTCCCCTGGGACACAGCCTCCCCTGATGCTTCCCCCACCCCCTATCTCTCACCTCCATGTTCTGCTCAGCGACCATCTGATCCAGGATGGGCATAAGCCAGTCTTCAAACTTGCAGTAGTTGTCGTTGGGCACCAGCAGGTTCCCGATCCTGGAGAGAAACAAGCAGGTTCAGCCCCCGGCCCCCTCAAAACCAGCTGGATTCAGCCTCTCCACGAGCCCCACTCTGCCCCAAGGAACAGGGACACAGCTGGCATTTCTGATCCCCACAGATGCCCGGGGGAGCAGAGAGGATCCTGGCCGAGTGGCTGGGAGCAGGAAATGGAGCCTTTCACCTCTAGAGCGTCAGTTCCTGACCCCCAGCCTCCCCACTCTCCTCCCTAGATCCCACTCTCCTCCCAAACCAGGGACAGAACCCAGGAGTCCTGGCTCCCATTCGCCCCCTACTCTAACCACTAAATCCCACTCCCCTCCCAGAGAACCCAGGAGTGCGCCCTCCTGGCTAGACCGGAGCAGCCCCCCTGGCCCCCCTGTACCTGTTGATCCCGCTCTGCCGAAGCTCCTTCCCCCGCAGGCTGAACTCCCCCACGTAGGTAGGTGCCAGGCATTTGATGAGATCCTCTTCCACGCCACCTGCTGTAGTGACCAGCACATCCACCTGCACGGCACAGGGACCCCGGCCTGTCAGAACCCCCCTGCTCTGGGGCCCCAGTGCTGGGAGCCCGCAGCTGAAGGGGCAGGGGGGTGGCCGCTGTTCGGGTGTTAGAGCCCAGCAATGGGTTAAGGGGGGGATGTGGCAGCAGCCTGGGTGTCAGAGCCTGGCACCGGGAGGGGCCCTCAGGGACACAGGTGCTCAGTGCCATGGGAGCACAAGGGACACTGGTGGGGGGCAGTGCTCAGCGACCGGGGGGGGGGGGGGGCATACCATGTTGTGCTGCACCAGGTAGCGGATGGTCTCGCGGATGCCCGAGCTGATGAGGTTGGAGGTGTAGCCCAGGAAGATGGTGCAGCCCGAGGGCTGCCGGCGGCAGGGGTTCAGGTGGGCGCGGGTCTCCTCCTCCTCGCCCAGCGGCTCCAGCTTCGCCGCGATCTGGGAACCGGAGCAGCCACATGTCAGGGGCACCCGGTCTGGCGGGTCGGGGCACTCACCCCCCCTACAGGTGCCCAAGCTACCGGCCCCCTATCCTCTGGCTCTCCTGTTAGCAGCCTCAAGGAGCAAAAGGGACGTGGAGAAACTGAGGCACAGAGTGGGGCAGTGGCTTGCCCGCAGCAGAGAGGTACAGAACCCAGGAGTCCTGACTCCCAGCCCCCATCGTCCTGCTCTAACCACTCGACCCCACTCCCCTCCCAGAGCCAGGGTGGAACCCAGGCGTCCCGGCTCCCAGCCCCCCCCCTCACCATCCTGTTGATCTCCTGCACGGCCTGCCCGAAGCTGGTGGCCTGGAAGCCGGTGGTGAGGTAGGACTGGAGCAGGGCGCGGTGATCCAGCCCGCGGTCGAAGTCGTAGCCCCGCACCTGCAGGCTCTCCTCGGGCAGCCCGGCGCTGGGCTTCAGCACGGCCGCCACGGCCGCGGCCGGGAACCGCTCCCCGGGGCTCTCCATGGGGCCGGCGCCCGCGCGGCTCTGGGGGGGCCCGGGAGAGACAGGGCGGGTCACGGGCCGGGGCAGGGGCGGCGCCTCGCCAGGCCCCCGCGCGAGCCCGCGGGGCGAGCCCCGCCCGCCCCGCTTTCCGAGCTCCGCCCCCGAGCGAGCCCCGCCCCTCTTTCCGAGCCCCCCTGTCCGAGCGAGCCCCGCCCGCCCCCCTTTCCGAGCTCCGCCCCCGAGCGAGCCCCGCCCCCCTTTCCGAGCTCCGCTCCCGAGCGAGCCCCGCCCCCCTTTCCGAGCTCCGCCCCCGAGCGAGCCCGCTCCCGAGCGAGCCCCGCCCCCCTTTCCGAGCTCCGCCCGCCCCCCTTTCCGAGCTCCCCCCCAGCGAGCCCCGCCCCCCTTTCCGAGCCCCGCCCCTCCGCTCCGAGCTCCGCCCCCGAGCGAGTCCGAGCCCCACCCCCGCTCTAAGCTCCGCCCCCGAGCGAGCCCGAGCCCGAGCCCCACCCCTGCTCCAGGCCCCCGGAGAGCGCCACAGAAACCCCGCCCCAGCCCCCAGTCCCCAGTCCCCAGCCCGGCTGGCTCGTACCGGCGCCTCAGGCCCCCGCTAGCCCCGACGCCGGACGGCTGCGCCTGGCCGCCGCCATGTTGACCCCGGCCAGCTACGGCAGCGCCGCTGGGTCATGCGTGCGCCTCGGGGAGGAGCGCGTCCGTACTGCTGGACGCTGCCACCTTGCCCCTCAACTTCCGCAGCGCTGGAACCGTACGCGTGGGAGCCGCCATCTTGAACAGAAGCCGGTTACGGCGGCCCTCAAGGGTCAAGTGTTCTCCAACTCCAAGAGCCTCCTAGCTTAGAGCATCTGCAGAGGTTTCCAATGGGCCAGTCTCAGGCCCGACAAGGAGCAGCCCCCTACCCCGGTCCACAGTACACCCCTATATAGGTGCCCTATACCTAGAGTTGCCAACCTCCAGGATTGTCCTGGAGTCTCCAGGAATTAAAGATGAATCTTTCATTAAAGAGTATGTTGTGATGAAACCTCCAGGAATAAATCCAACCAAAATTGGCAACCCTATCTATACCAGGCCAGGCAAATCAGCTTCCCCTCGTGTGGACGCAGGTCTGGCACTACTCTTCCTGTATGGGAAGGGGAATAAGCTACACCAGCATAAGGCACCTTTATCCCAGTGTAACTGTGTCCACTCTAGGGGTTGTCCCATTTAGGTCATCTGGGGGACAGAACCAGCATCCTGTGCGTGTAAATGCATGAGCTGTTCCTACCTGTAGCTCACGAAAGCTTATGCTCAAATAAATGGGTTAGTCTCTAAGGTGCCACAAGTCCTCCTGTTCTTTTTGCGGATACCGACTAACACGGCTGCCACTCTGAGACCCAGGCCCTGAGTCAGCAGCCAGCACCACACAGGGCTAAGTAGTTCCTGAAGCACATACCGGAGTCTGTTCCCTCTGAAAGGCAGCATGGCAAAGCAGCCCAGTTCTGCCGGCTGTGAGCGCAGACCAGCTCTCTGTTCTGGGGACCTGTACTCTGGGAACCATCAGCTCCTAGCTGGGCTTTCACAGCACAGAGACGGCCGCCGGGAGGCGTACGTGGTGAATAGTGAGGGTAATTAACCACAGGAACACTTTGCCAAGGGTCCTGGTGGAGTCTCCATCCCTGACAGTGTTTAAATGAAGATGGGATGTTTTTCTAAACAATCCACTGTCCTTCAAATGGGAATTGAATCCTACCAGGGAAATCCCATAGCCGGTTAGACAGGGGGTCAGACTAGCTGATCACGCCGGTCCCCTTGGAATCTATGAACTAACCCCGGCAATCCTGCGCTGGCTGGAACGTGTCCCGTCATCCTGAGGCTGCCTGCAGCCAGGGTCGAAGGGCTCATTGCTCAAGCTCTGTTCACGGGAGCGGGCAACACCACACGTGCTACCCCTGCTCCCTTGAGCCACAAAAACGGGGGCAGGCTGTATCGCCTCCACCGCCCCAGCTTCTTTCATCTCCAGGTAGGCTCTTCTACTGCGCCCCATCATGGTGGTATCGAAGTTGCCCCTCTTTCTGGTTCCTCTCCCCCCACCTCTGCCCCTTTACCACCCCCCATCACCAGCCGGCGCCCCCTGCCCGCCTGCCACTCTCCGGTGGGGCTGAGGTGTGGGGAGCAGTGGATGCGAGTCCCAGTCACGTGCTGAGCTGCAGCCATGTGAGGCCCAGCCTGGACAGATCGGGTGTCCTGCTACCCAGGCCCCATGAGCAGACTTCTCCCCGCGCCCCAGCTCGCCTTTACGCCAACAGCCATGACCCCCGGGGCCCCAAGTTGGGGACACGGGTGAATCTCAGCCATCCAGATGGGCAGGATGCCCGGTCAAAGGGAAGTCTGTCTTCAAAGCAGAGTGACCGCCGCTGACCTACAACCCTGTCTGCCAACCTCTGGGGGTGCCCTGCAGCCTGGAGGTGGGACAAGGCAGGATATAATGGCTGGTGGAGACCCCGGAAAGCCAGGGTTCAGGGTCCCTGCACAACCACCCCCTTTTCCCAGCTGCAAGGCCCAAGATCCAGCGAGGGACCCCCCACATTCCTGCCCCATGTCACCATGGGAATGGGGAGATGCTACAGCCCTGCAGCACCCAGAACTGCCCAAGGGGGACAGATTCCACAGTGGGGACTGCAGCTGTGTCCGAACCAGCCTGGCAGGTTGGAAATGCCCCACCCCTGCTGGTGGGTTAGAGCGGCCGGCCGTAGAGAAGCAGCTCCCTGCCCCCCAGATACCCTCGACCTTTGGAAGCAGATTGATTGAACTCCTGCCGCTCTTCCCAGGAGGACCCTGGGGTCCCGTAACACCAAAGGTTTGCCTGTGGTCTCATGAACACAGCAGTGCGAGTCAGGACTCCTGGGTTCTTTTCCTAGAGCAAGGAGGGGAGTAGGGTCTAGTGCTTAGAGCAGGGGGGACTGGGAGCCAGCTGGGACTCCTGGGTTCTAGCCCCAGCTGTGGGAGGGGTGTGGGGTCTAGTGGTTGGACTGAGAAAGAGGGGATCTGGGAAGGACTCCTGGATCCCAAGGCATGATTTCCACTCTCGCCCCTCTTCCCCCACCGCGAGCCCTTCACCCCAGGCCTGGCTGCATTTTGGCTCCGGCTGCTCTCAGGGCTGAGATGCTGGAGCGCCCCTGCTGGGGAAAACGCTGCCCCAGCCCAGCAGGAAGTGCCCCCCTTAGCCCCGGAGCTGCAGCTACACTTTGCTGGGTGACATTTCGCTCTGTGCATGGCCCAGCTGGCTTCAAAGGCATCAAAGCATGTGCGGCGGGTGGGGAGGCCCAACTGAACCTCAGCCTCTTGAGAGCGAGGGCAGGCAGGCGGTGGCCTGGGGAGGGAGGATAAATAGGGCAGAGGCGGGGGCATCGGGAGGCTGGTGGAGACTGACAGAAACGGGCAGCGATACAGCACCTGGGGAGTGCACCAGGCTGCAAACTGGGGGGAAGCATTTTGCCATCTCAGGTGAGCAGAGCAACCTTGTCGGGGGCGGGAGGGGGGGGCAGAAAACAGGGCCTGATTTTGATCCCCCCCTCCCCTAAATCGAGACAATGGGGGAGGCCGTGGAATTGACAAGAGGTTCGGATCAGAGCCAGGCTCAAATGCTGGTACTCAGGACCGGAGGGGATGAGTTTCACTGGCGGCTGGATGACTCAGATGGCTCCTGCCGGCATTGGCCCAGCTCTGGGACTGCCGGTCCCGGGGGGCAGGAGCGACAAATAGGTGCAGGGATCAAACCCCAACAGTGTGTGTGACCCCCATCCTGAGCTTGGGATAGAACCCAGGAGTCTCAGTCTGGGAGGGGAGGGGGAGACCGAACTCCTGGCTTGGAGCCCTGCTTCTGGAAGGGGAAGCTGTCTAGAGGAAGGACTGGGTGTTAGCACTCCTCAGTTCTATCCCCTGTCCTAACCGTGGGGTCTAGTGGTAAGAGCAGGGTGGGGGTGGGAGTCAGGCGTCCTGTGTTCTAACACAGCTCTACCACTTGGTTGGTGACCCCAAGCTAAATCACTGCCATGCTCTGTGCCTCAGTTTCCCCACCTATTCAGTGGTCCTATTACCTGTGTTGCAGAGCAGATGGCAGGAGCGTGAACTAACTTTTCCAAAGTTCTCCAAGACCCTTGGGCATCTGGAGGGATGGGAAAGGATTATTAATGTGACTATAAACAACATGCAGCATGTTTGCACAACACCCAGCACAACCGGGTCCTGCTCCATGAGCGGAGCGGCTGAGCGCTACCGTAATACAGCTAATCAATAATAATGGAAGGATAAAGGGGATGGGTGCCCAAGCTTCCAGGCCCAAGATTTAGTGCCTGCCCCAAACTGTTGTTGTGCGCTGTTATATATCTGCCATGCCCCGCCCCAGAGGTGGCTGCATTTCAGCGGCATTTGGGAGTCTTCAGCTCTGCTGCCATTTAAATGTCACGTGCTTTTCCCTGCTGCTTTGGTTCTCGCGGAGCAGCCTGCGTGCTTGTGGAGCTCAGCATCTTCACCCCCTCCAGTTGGTGTAACCCAGCCCTCCTTTGCCCTGCAGATGTTGGGGAAGGCAGCCAGCTGCAATCACACAAGCCAGGGCCAGAGGGCAGTGGAGCAGCTGCGGACAGAAGCCGGGCTGGAGAGAATGAAGGTGACACGAACCCCCTCACAGTCCCTACACTGGGGAATTCATTTGGTGCTGGACTGGCGGGACCCAGCCTTGCCCCGCTGCTGAGGGTGAGACAGGAGTTCTGTCTCCAGGCCCCGGCTCGGGCTGAGCAGGACTCCTGGGTTCTGTTCCTCGCTCAGACTCTGTTTCTGCCCCACCCCTACTAGAAACCAGCCTGAGGCCTAACAAACCCATGTCATGGGAAGTAGCACGAGAGGTGATGAACCAGCAGCTGCTGCCCAGCTGGAGCGGAAGATTCAAGGCCTAAATGGGGATGTAAGGCCCCCTCTTATCCACACACACCTACCTCGGAAAGGGTAGGGAGGGCGAAATTGACATGGCAGGATCCCAGTTAGAGGGGATCTTTCACCTGGGGGGCAAAACCCAGAAGCAGAACCATTTGATTTGGGGGGGGAAGGAGGGGCCCAGCCTTGCCCCATGCCAGATCTCCCCCCATAGGATAGCACCACACAGGGGCCTGAGAAGGGGCAGCTGCTGCTCCCCAGTGGGGAAGAGTGGGGAGCCCCTTTCCTACACCCCTGCCCAGGGCAGCTGTGACACGGTTGTGCAGGGCGGTTCCAGCCCTGCAGCAGCCGGGGTGCATGCCAAGTTCAGGCTGCTCTGTCGTCAGGCCCGTTTACAGGACGGAGTAGCAGGAGCAACACGGCGGGGAGCAAGGTAATTGCCTAGGAGGTGGTGGCTGGGTCAGGCCAGCGTGTTCCTTTCAGGCGTGGTTTAGCAGGACGCAGGGCTCAGGAGAAAAACAGATCCTGCCGGGATCAGCTGCAAAGTCGGCTCTGAAAGCGGGAGGCAGTGGGGGGGGGCGTGGAGGCTCCTGGCCTCTTTCAGCTCTGGTGGGATGGGGCCCTCCCAGCTGGCACCGACCTGCGCCAGGCCCTTACGTAAAGCTTACCATGGGCTCATTCTGCCCAGAGTTGCTTTCCCCCTCAGCGAGATGGTGCTTTGTGGTGGCAACCTGGCTGGGGTTGTGGGGCGGGGGCTGGAAGTCAGGACTCCTGGGTTCTGTTGCCAGCTCTGGGAGGACAGCAGGCTCCAGTGGTTAGAGCAAGGGGGTGGGAATCACGAACTCACACTCCAGGACCTCCCCGAGACAGGGATAGAACTGGTTCCCAGCACTCCCCTGCTCTGGCCACTAGACCCCTCTCCCCTTCCAGGGAGGGTGCTGGGAACCAGGACTTCTGGGTTCTGTCCCCATCTCTGGGAAGCCCTGCAGGGTAAGGTCTTGACTCCCACTTCCATCCCAGATCTGGGAACAGAACCCAGGATTCCTGACTCCCAGTGCTCCCTACTCTAACCACTAGCCCAGATCCCCCTCACCCTGCTGTTTGGCTTTGCTCAGCTGCCTTCTCTCCCGCTCTAGGTCTCCCAGGCAGCCAGTGAGCTGCTGCAGTACTGCCGGGCCCATGCCCAGAGCGACCCGCTGCTGACCGGTGTCCCTGCCTCTGCCAACCCCTTCAGAGACAAGAAAACCTGCAGCATCCTGTGAGGACCCTGGACCTCCAGCCCGATACGGACAACAGGCAGAGGCCTCTGAAGAGGGGAACAGGCTCAGAGGGGGCATGACGGGGTTCCTGCTGTGTCCCACCCTATCACCCTGCTCCCCTCCCCACATCCAGGTCAGCGCAGCCTCTGTGTGCAGAGAGCAGGAGACTGTCTGACCCCTGGGGCCCGATCCCTCCTGGTGTAAATCAGGCGAGAGGAGGAGCAGGGAGTTGGGGGAAAAGCGTGGCCCTGCTGTAGCCGGGGGAGCTTTACCATCGTTTTCAACACAGCCAGGCTCTCCCCCAGGTACAGCAATCCCCTCGTCAGTTACAGCCTCTGCACACAGCATGGGGAAGGGGAGCCAGGCCAGGCCTTACTGCAGGGCAGGGCTGGCCAGCCCCAGGGACAAGCTGGCCTAGCAGCCCTGCTGCCCTTGGGGTCCCCATTCACTCCATCCCCCTGGGGCTGGGGGGCAGACTGGCCACTGGACAAGCTGACCCCACTCTACTAAGCTGCCTCATCCCTGGCCGGAGGAACCCGCATTGGGGGTGAGCACAAGGGGGAGGAGCTAAGACCCAGTGGGTCATTCCGTTCTCAGCCCCCCTCCCTGGGGAGATGGATGCCCAACTCCGCCACCGACTCAGCGTGTGACCCTGGGCAACTCACTTCCACTCCCCCGTGCCTCAGTTTCCTCATCTTCCCAGGAGGGGGACTGGGAAGCACTGGGTTACTACGGTGATAAGGGCCTGGTAGGCAGACAGCTACAGCCTGCCGTTCCAGGGAGCCCAGTCAGCGATGGCAGCCGGTTCTGTTGGGTACTGGGCCCGGCCGTGCCAGCTCATTGCACACAGGCAGTAAGGCCCCTAGATCCCCCCTGACCTGGACTGGATCAGACCCAGGAACCTCAAATTGCGTTTTGTCCATTTTGACAGTGAGCTCTTCGAAGCCAGGACCGTCTCACTTTGTGTTTGTGCAACCCCTGGGGCCCTGATCATGGCTGATGCTCTCAAAACACCCCTCCTAATAAAGCATCTGCAGCCCAGTTCCCCCCAGTGCCAAGTGCTTCACTTAGCTTACAGATCGAAGCTAGCCTGGGTCCTTTCATCTCCTACTTGGCTGGTGCCGGGAGGAAGCCGCCGTGCCTGTATTTTCAAGGCTATAGGGATTGAATTTAAAACTAAACACGTGATTTCACTGGGAAGGGGATAAAAACCCACTGACATCTCTAATCAGATCCTGTCTGGCAGAATAGTTTAATCAACAACATTAGAACGTGCGTCTCAACTGAGTCCCTGTAAGTTACACATCAGCTCTGGACTCTGTTTCTATCTGGTCAGCCCTTGCGTCTGTTTTCCTCAACCTTTAGCAGGCTGTGTGGAGCTGGGTTGGATGGTTACTGGTTCTGACCCCTTACGGCCGTCCCCTCCCGCGCTGTGACCTGAGAGATTTTGGGAACCGGCCTCGAAGGACCAGCAGCAAGAGCCCTGCACCGTGGAAAAGCAGGTGGGAGGTAGACAGATAAGTAGCACAGGCCGCCTGGCAGTCAGGCCAGGATTGTGATAATGAAGGAGCCCAGAGGGTGGAAAAGGGGACAGCGGTGGAAGAATGTGAGCCAGAGAGAGCTAAGTCAGTGCGTCTAGCAGGGAAAGGCTGGCCAGGCTCCGATCCCTCTGGAAACTCAGGCATGGAAATCGCTCTGGGAACGACAGCGCCAGAGCGAGCTCAGGCTCAGCTCAGCTTTGACCTCCCAGCTCCTCGGGCCTCTTCCAAAGAACAACGAACAAACAAATGCTGAAACTCTGGCCCCTCCCCTGGGCGGGAACACGGTCCCCGGGTGCAGCACCTCCCTCTGGGGCCGCAGCTGCAAGACGTGGCTCTGCGGATCCAGGCCTCCCATCAGGCATCGAGCCTCCAGATTTCCAAGGACAGGCCCCTGGAGGCAGCTACTACAATGTTGCCTTCTGCGCTGACCTGCGGGGGAAGCCGGGAGCGGAGGGGTGGGTGTAAACAGGCGCGACAGGAACCGGGGACTGAGGCCGTTTCAATCCGAGAGGCCAGGGGACCAGCTCCAAGGTTCCTGCTAAATACACCCTGCCCCCGCCCCGAGTTCAGCCACAAGGACAAAGTGTCCAGCATTCAGCACGGCCTCAGATTCACTCCTCGGGGCAGCACGGTCTCTCCCCTGTGTGCAAGGGAGTGCCCCCTCTGGCTGATCTGAGTGGTGGCCCGCCCTGGCCAAAGGAAGAGAGCCGAGGAGAGAGAGAGGATTCCACATGCACATTCCCCCACAACAGACAAGCTGGCTGGGAGGGCAGAAAGCTCAGGCACCCTCGTCCCCCAGTTCGGAGTCCGAGCGCCCCTCCTTACCCCATTCAGCACGTTGTTGTGCGTCTGTGAACAGATAGTGCGAGGCGGGTCCGTCGGAACGTGTATCTGGAAAGAGAAAACTCATGGGGGAGGTTACCCAGGGCCGGGTGAATCCATAGGGAGGAATGGGGGGAGCCCCTCTCTGTGCTATTTTTAGGAGGGCCCACTGGTTCTTTGCTCATCAGCACTAGGGGGCTCCATTGACGCAGCTACCCTGGTACTGGCTACGGGTGGCCGGAAGTGGGGTAGGCAGATCCCAGGCCCAGACGAGGCTGCTACTGACTTGGAATCGGAAATGCCTTATTTGCACAATCCTTGCTGTTCGCATTATAGAGAAGCATGTTCAGGGGATGAAGCTGAGTGTGCAGAGGGCTCTTCCAAGGGCCAAGACACAATTCTCAGAACCCTCCAGAAAGCAGGAATTACCTCTCTTCCCCCAGGTGGGGAAACTGAGGCACAGACAAGGAAAGTGGCTTGCAGCCAAAGTCGTAGAGCTGGGGTCGAGACTCGGGTGTTCCTGGCTCCCAGCCTCTATGAGCAAATCGTGGGGAGTGGGATGGGGGAAGGATTGCTAGAGAAGCATGGACCTTACCCGCAGGGTCTTGTCAGTGGAGGTCGTGTACAGAGTGCCCAGGGAGTGCCAGACCCCAGTGATCTGGGACCCGTGACCCACGTCAAAGTACTGTGGGGAGGAAAGAGACAGTAAGCCCTCTGCATACCTCCAGCTGGGGCTCACCACAGGGGTGAAAGCCAAGGCACCCCTCTGTTGCTAGCCTGTGTGGGTCCCATGCATCTCTCTGTTCCTAACCCGTCACCTTCATGCTGGGGACTCTCACGCATATGCATCCAAGCCCGACTAGGGGATCCCACTGCAAGGTGCTTCGGAGGGCCCAGTTTAGGGTGTCGCAGGTCAGATCACACCAGGACCCCATGGAAATCTAGGTATTTTCGGTATTCATCTGGCCCCACCAGTAGCAAGTAGCAAATGGGTCATTGAGAACCATCTCCTCTGCCCTCCAGGGAGGGATGTTCCCTCCAGGGCATGGGGAATCGAGACCCATCCAGCATGGGGTTCACGGAGGAGAGCCCTCAAGTGAAACTGACAGTGGCTGAGTTCACAGCCCCAAGCTGCAGGCAGGCAAACAAGCAGCAGCCCTGGTGTTAATCCTCTGGGGTGAAAAGGGGTGGTGGTGGGGGAATAGATGTAATGCTTAGCAAGCCTGCATCCCTCTGTCCAGCCCCAGGTCAGGGGAGGCCTGCATACCCGGATGCGCTGGAAGCTGCCTCCTCTGTTTTCAAAGACGTAGAGTCGTCCCTGGTTGTCCCCGGCCCACAGCTGCGTCCCCTGGTAGGACATGGAGAGCAGGTAGGATTCCAGCTGGGGAAGGAAAGGAGCAAAGAGGATGGCACAGCTCTGGGGGTGGATCGGTGTGTGATCCACTCCCCCCCATACAACACCCTCTGCCTATTCTAAAGGAGTTCCTTGACATTGGACTGCATCAGGCTGCCTGTTTCCTGGTTCCCCACAGGGCATCACATGTCACAGACAACAGAGGCCTGATGAGTGGAACAGGAGAAAGAGGCTCAGGTTTCAGGGGGACCTAGAATGGGGGGGACCCGCAAGCCACAGAGGTTCAGCCTGGGACACCAGCCCTGCAGCGTGTTTAATACCAATCTGTTTCTTACAGTGCAGCCTCCCTCATTGCTGGTGAATGAGCAGAATGCCTGGTTAATCTGGCAGGAGGAGTTAGAAGTGCTTTATTGCCATTAAGCACCACAACCCTTCCTCTACAAAGGAGGCATCTGTTACCCCACTATACATCTAGGGAAACCGAGGCACAGCGACTGACTTGCCAGAAATCAAACACTACGTCACTGGCAGACGTAAGCCCCGACTCCGTGGGTGCTCTGGGGCTGGAGCACCCTTGGCGAAAAATTAGTGGGTGCTCTGCAACCATTGGCAGCCAAGCTCCCCTCCCCGCCCCCCCCTCAGCTCCTCCTCCACCTCCTCCCCTGAGCGTGCCGCGTCCCCACTCCTCTGCCTACCTCCCAGCACCTGCTTTCGCCAAACAGCTGTTTGGCAGTGTAGGAAGCTCTGGGAGGGAGGGGGGAGGAGGAGCCAGAATCTGGTGTGGTCAGGGGAGGAGGCGGGGAAGAATCATAGAATATCGGGGTTGGTATGGACCTCAGGAGGTCATCTAGTCCAACCCCCTGCTCAAAGCAGGACCAATTCCCAATTTTTGCCCCAGATCCCTAAATGGCCCCCTCAAGGATTGAACTCACAACCCTGGGTTTAGCAGGCCAATGCTCAAACCACTGAGCTATCTCTCCCCCCCAGAGGCGAGGGCGGGGTGGGGATTTGGGAAAGGGGTCAGAATGGGGGCAGGGCAGGGGTGGAGTCAGGATGGGGCTGGGGGGTCAAGCACCTACCAGTGAGAGTAGAAGTCAGCGCCTATGGTAGCAGACCCAGGAGCCCTGACTCCCAGCCCCACCTGCTCTAACCACGAGACCCCACTGCCCTCTCAGAGCTGGGGATAGAACCCAAGAGGCCTGACTCCCTGCACCTCACACCCTCCTTCAGATGCAACCAGTTGGGTCAGGGACTCTCTAAGGATTACATATTCTCCTCCCCCAAAA